AGGTGCTTTTGCTTAGTATAAACAAGAGCAAGACTCTACCTTTTAAAAAAAAAAAAAAAAAAAAAAAGCACACGTTCCCACCAGCCTAGTGCGAAGACGCAGACTATGCCTAAGGGAAGTACAATGAGTGTACTGGGGCATCATGTAAATATTAATGTTAGCAGTCTGGGCCTGACCTCATGTAACCTCTGCGAGTCACATAAAGCTGGGAATGGTTTAATCAAGGTCAGCAAAAACGCGTAAAGATTAAATTGTTTACATGACAGAGATTTCATCGTATATATAATATTTGTTTATTTAACTATAACAAGGGGAGAGGAGACTGGATGTGCTTTTATCTGAGGCGTCTTAGGACGTTCGCCCCGTTACAGCAATGAATCCTCTGGACGGGCTGCTTAGAAACAAGAAAATAACCATTAGAATAACTTTATTTTTTTACTGGTATGTTCTCAGGGTAATTCTGCTCTATTCCTCAAAGATCGCAAGAATCGCCGGATTGTAATATAAACAGAAAGGTCTCCCATTGGGATAACATTGTAACTTTTTTTTGCTGAATGCAGAATAAAAGTGTCTGTTTTTATTTATTTCATATGTTGGTTTTTTTTTGCTAATTGCAGTTTCTTTCTCATTGCATGTTTGTGCTCTGTTATGTAAATTGTTAAGCTGCAGTTAATGTTTTGTTTGTTTGGAAAGTGAAATTAGAGGGAAACTATATGGAGTTTTAGTAAGTACACGCCACGTCTTATTGTTTAGGGTTTTTTAAAGTGTCACTAAACTGAGAAGTTAAGTCCTAAAAATGCATTAATGTACCTTAACTATTAACAAAAATGTATCTTATTTGTGTATCACTCGCCTGTAGATCCTCAAATCATCTCTGAATTGGCCTATGGCCATGCTCGTATTCTTTTGTTGGCTGTATTCTTTTAGAAAATTGCAATAAAAATATTGAAACAAACACAATGATCAAAATAAGTGATCAGCAAGCATATTAAAAGTTACCCAAGTGTCACTGAAACCTTAAAAAAGCATTTAAGTACCTTAACTATTAACAAAAATGTATCTTATTTGTGTATCACTCAGCTGTAGATCCTCAAATCATCTCTGAATTGGTGCTGACACTGTCCTTCCTTCTGGAGGGTGGCTCCTTTTGTTCCCCATGGTCCTAGTGTGTTGTAAAGTAGCCACCGCTCCAAGCTCCCTCCCGTGATGGATTACAATCTCACTGATTAGTAAACTTAACGTGACATTATAGTCTATCACAGGAGTGAGCTTGGAGTGGTGACTACAAAGATTTACAGATTGTCTGCAGAATGTTACCTAAAACATGCTCAAACATTTTAAAACCATGTACCTTCTACTGTTGTGAAATAAACTGGAGAAGCATAGCATACCAAGACAATAAAGCTAACCTATGTAATTATTTCTAATGAAATAAATGAGAACACTTAATTATATATCAGGGTGTGTGACTTATTAAAATGTCTGTTTTTTAAATTCCAATTAAGTATAATGTGGAAGACTACATTTTCCTTATTACAATGCTTGATAGGAGTGCAGATCTTATAAAATGTATAGCTAACATACACTGCCTGGCCGGAAAAAAAAATCACCCCCTGGATTTTGAATTTTGGCCAGTATTTAATGTACCGACCGAAATGTGCACAGTGCCTGGGGCTGTTGGCTCCCTTTCAGCTGGTATTCCTCAATCAGCTGACCGACGGGGCCGGCTGGAAAATTTTCAATCAATCAGAGCTGGCAATCAATGAGCCAGGTTCTGATCGGCTATTCTGACAGGTGTTGGCGGCACCTGTCAGAATACAATGTAAACAGCGGGATTCCTTGATCAACATGCTTTTTGTGTTGATGGAGGAATCGAGTCAATTTTTTTCGTCAGCTGCTTACCTGAATATACTGAATGACCAGGTTTTTCAATTGATTTTTTTCTTCCATGATGGCACATTGGGCATATTCCAAGATAACAGGATTCATCGGGCTCAAATCGTTGAAGAGTGGTTCAGGGGGCATGAGACATCATTTTCACAGATGAATTGGCCACCACAGAGCTCAGACCTTAACCCCATTGAGAATTTTTGGGATGTGCTGGAGAAGACTTTACACAGTGGTCTGACTCTCCCATCATTACTACAAGAATTTGGTGAAAAAGTTTGGCAACTCCAGATGGAAATAAATTTGACATTGCATAAGCTTATCGAAATTATGCCGTGGCAAATGTTTGCAGATAATCAAAGCTAAATGTGGTCCAATGAAAATTAGAGTTTGTAACTTTTTTTGGCCAGGCAGTGAAAATTGAAATGACTTTAATTGATGCATGTATGACTCCTGATGATTGACATTTTATATGATAAGAGAATTTTACAAGCTCAGAAAATCAAATGATCAGCATACAAGTATTAATGTTGCACACTGTGGGGTACATTTTCAGGGTCACACAGAACACATCATTCCAATAAAACACACAAAAACTATGGAACTGCAGCAGTCTTGGTGCTGCTTATTTAGTTTTTTTAAATAAAACAAACTGCTGCTTGCGAGGGCTTCGACACTCAGGGGTACTGTAACTAGCCTGTTTTTAATGTTAATAGTACCCAACTGCTTTACAGAATGACTTTACTTTGAATCTCACTGGCTTCATTTAAAATATCCACGATAATCGAGCCTGTATTCAAACATACACTTTTATGCTTCCCTTTTTCTTCCTGCTCTTTTGGAGCTGCACTGGGAACATCCAGGGCACTGCCAGTTCAGCTTTTCTTGTTTGCTTTTTAAGCCATCTGTAGACACAAGGAAACTCTAAGTTATGTGTATGATGTTATGTTAACGAAAAACATTCCTAGATCTCAAGATCGGCTGCCAGGGATCTGCTGGAGAATGGATAGTTAAAGTGTATGTCCAACCAATTTTTTAGTGTTGGAAAGGATTGTTACTGTTCTCCAGGGTTCCCTCACTTACTGTCCCAGTGGTTTAAGGGAAGCAAAACACAGACAGAAATACATTTAGAGTAGGGAAAAGCTAGGACCAATGTCCACTTTTTATTTCTATGTGTTCTGCTGGGCTTCTGGTGTGCCTCTGCAACTTTAAGGAGGAATTAGTTACCTCCAGGCATACTTGCCTTTAATCTATTTATTGCTGTGCATGGCCCAGGATGGGAGCTTTGTTAGATTAGGAAGCACAATATATAGAGGGGCCGTGATGGGACATTGTAGCTTCCGCTAAGATTTGCTGAAAATATATGCTACTAACACCTCTGTTTTTTTTTTTTTTCTTTTTTCTAAAACACCTCTGTTTTTAATGCATAGGGGTGTATTTATAACAAAATTGCAGACCCTCTCGTCTGCAAAACTGCATGTACTTTTGTTCTGTGCAAATAGAGACAAAAACAAACATTCTTAGTATATTTTTGTCACGTGCTTGGATGGAGACTGAACTGAACAGAGTGCTAGCCTTGAACCACTTGTCCAACTCCCCTGGAGGTGATGACAGGAGGAATGAGGACTTAGGGGCGCAAGCGTGCCGATGTGATGGTAAATGCAGATTCTGTATCGGAGCTTAAATGCGGTGGCCCGGGGATCGTGATGACCGGAACTGAGCCACAGGCTAAGTAGCAATGTGAAGTTATGGTCTGCAGCTGACTTGCAGGAAAACAACATAGAGTTCAAGTAGGAGTGCCTGATAAGTGTTAAGTAGCGATGCACTGATACTGGTTTTTCGACATCGAGTACCGATACTTTTTTCGGTACTCACTGATATGGAATACCGATACCGGAAGTCCCAATAAGGAATCCAGACAGATGTGTAATAACTCGCCACCTGGATTCCAGATTAGCCGGGCGGCGTGTAAAGACTCGCTGCCCAGCTTCCTAATACTGGAAGTTCAAGTATAGGGCTAGGCATCGGAGCATTTGGACGAGTATGAGTACTCACCCAAATATTCTGTATCGGCACCAATACCGATACTAGTATCGGTGCATCCCTAGTGTTAAGATAAGTGTTTCAAAGAAGACTTCCCCCGCACAGATTTAAAGTGAACCTCTAAGCTCACATTATCTGGTAAAGTGACCCTAGGTTCTTCACCTGCAGATGACATTCAGAGCTCCTCGGGATCCCCAACACCCAAAGCACTCTAATATACTTTTAGAGGTGTCTAGGTCACGCTTTGGCCTACCTTCTTCTACCCTGTGCTTTCCTATTGGCCAGTGAGGGCTCATTACATATGGAGGTGGGTAGAGAGGTGAAGGTGGTGGGAGGTCGTGACTCAGGGTATGAACGTTCTGGTTGCTCTTTACATATTATAGCACCCTGTTTCAGCGGCTTTGATGAAGCTCTGGAAGTTCTATGCACATATCTGTGGACCTGGAACTGTTTCACCGTGTAAGATGAGCTCACCGTCTTGCTCTAATCATGTTCTTGTATTGTATTCAGAAATATAATTAAGTAATTATCTTTCCACTATTTATTCCAATCACCATGACTGTTAATTTTATTTGTGTTTTAAGCAATGACTATCGGAGAAATGCAAGATTTATTCTAATGTGCCAGCTGATTGCTGTGCAAGTGGCCTTCAACACAGCTTTGCAGCAAATAAAAAACATTAGCATGCTGTTCTGCCTCTGAACCTTTGACTGTAGGATACATTTTCCATTGTTTGAAGGCAAAATGTACCTAAAAACATGTCACGAGGGTGATTTGTAGGCTGCCAGTGCTCTCCTCTCCTGAAAATGCTAGTTGTTGGCTGTTATCCTGAGCCACTTGCTTCATTATCTGCCCCAGACAAACATGCAAACATGGACTTTTGCCTTTTCTGGTCTGCGTATACATTCATATCAGTGACTGCAAAAATGACAAAGCCAATGAGTCAGCATAACAGCCAGGCAAAGAGAATTTCCAGAAGGTCAGTGGTGGCAGCCCCCGTATTGCCCTCATAAAGGTCTATAGGTCTTATTTTGTATTTTTAATCTTGTATTTGTTGTTTTGTGTTGCAGGTAAATAATAATGGAGTTGTCTCATTCCTTCGAGAAGTGTCCCAATTTACTCCTGTGGCATTTCCAATCTCCGGCGACCGTCGTGTGGTAGCTGCCTTTTGGGCTGACGTAGACAATCGTAGAGGAGGAGATGTATTTTACAGAGAGACGGAGGATCCCAGGGTCTTATACCGTGCCAACAGAGATGTCAACTCTTACTTTCCTGACCTGCCTGACTTCAATGCCTCATGGGTGTTTATTGCCACTTGGCACAGGGTCACTTTCTATGGTGGAGATGCCAGTTCACCAGTGAGTATCACCAATGATTTTTCTGGTTCTGGCGTGCCCTGATCTAAGACATATTTGACACTACCGCCTCCCTTTCCTAAATGATGTGACTGGTTTGTAGTACTAGGGCACGTTTATATGTTTTTTTAAAATTAAAGATAGGAATTTCTCAGGACAAAAGGAGGTTTTTAGGATACCCTATGGTTTTGTTAATGCTGACCATACACTGTGAGGTTTTGTTCTCATTCAACCCCGTGGGTTGAATGAGAAAAAACTCTTAATTCCTCCATGCACAACATGAATAGGGGAATCCCACCCAGTGGTATTCTGAGAGCGAAAAGAGAATTGTCTCCTTCAATTTTTAAAACCAAGGATGTTGGGCAGGAGGCTGCCAACAAGGCCACCTAAGGATTGAATTTCGGCCATTTTGTAAATAAAATGTTCTCAGTGTATGGCCAGTTTAACGGCAGTGCCAGCATTGAAGCATATTTAAACAATAACTAAACAATAAAGGTGATCAGCGCCAGTAAGCATAATGTGGAAATATGAGCTACCAAGCACTAAGGATATAACTAAATATCTGGAAAATGTGAAAAACAATATTGTGCCGAGCTAATAATCATACATATCTAATAAATTGAGACATATATAAATGAGTCACATATATGAGCCTTCAAACAAATGAGGCATAAGAAATATCTACACAAATACAAAAAATCAATATAGGCAAAAAAAGTCCCAAGGAAAAAACAAACGCAAACGATGGTGATTGTGCACAAAATTCCTCAGATGATTCGCAGCCAATGTGCATATAACTCTCAGGTAAGGATAATCACACAATGCAGGCAGACCTTCACCTCCACCCAGTGAGTGATGATAACAAGTGAATGCTCACCTGGGGAGGTAGACCCACAGAGCTAGGTCAAATGCACTGTTTTTCTCTTTCCACCTGGATTTATACCGGTACCTGTGATCTGAGGAGACCTTATCGCCTTTTTCTGTGCATGGGCTTCCCTCCCCCATTAAGAAGGGAAAAAGTGCATTTGGCCTAGCTCTGTGGGTCTACCTCCCCAGGTGAGCATTCACTTGTTATCATCACTCACTGGGTGGAGGTGAAGGTCTGCCTGCATTGTGTGATTATCCTTACCTGAGAGTTATATGCACATTGGCTGCGAATCATCTGAGGAATTTTGTGCACAATCACCATCGTTTGCGTTTGTTTTTTCCTTGGGACTTTTTTGCCTATATTGATTTTTTGTATTTGTGTAGATATTTCTTATGCCTCATTTGTTTGAAGGCTCATATATGTGACTCATTTATATATGTTTCAATTTATTAGATATGTATGATTATTAGCTCGGCACAATATTGTTTTTCATATTTAAACAATGTAATGAGGGTCCTTTAATAACTTCATATTAGATGGAACACTTCTTTAACTTCATACGTGACTTTTTCTCTGTTCAGTAAGCATACCTTTAGCATACTTTTTGATGCATGTTTCTTTTAAGGCATTCTTCGCTTATGCCTGTGTACTCTACTGCTTTTTCAGGTGAACACATTCCAGATTGTACTTATCACAGATGGACTTCGTTCTTTTACCATCTTCAACTATGAGATGATAGAATGGACAACAGGGAGACATGCCAGTAGTGGTGGTGACAGTTCTGGAAGAGGGGGAATTGCTGCCCAGGTAGGGCATTTTGTTTTTGCATTTGTTACCTCTGTAATCACACATAGCAGTATTGTAAGTTTGTGTTGTCCAGTAGACCAGTACAGTACAAAGAAAGCATTAGCAGTGTTATACTTGTTAAGCAATACATTTAGAATATTTAGATCTGGTGTCACACAAGTTGCAAATAGGTGTTGCTTATAAGGAGACAAAACAAACCTCTGTGTCCTTCTCGGTGTATAAATCCTGTCTATGGGAGGATGGAGGCTGGTAGCCTCCACACTTTTTTCTATTTGCATCTGCTTAGCACTAAGTTGCTAATATTGATGCTTAGTGTCTGCAGGAGGAAGATGCTGTTTCCATTTAGTTTAGAAGTTTACATCACAGAATGGCTTACAGTGTTCCTTTCTAGCCACCTAGGAGTGAAGTCGCTTAAAAAGCCAATAAATGGTGCAGGTTAGAGGATATAAGAATTTAAAACAGCTGGGATCAGGTTGGTTTTAGTAGCCATCAAATACACTTTGAGGCTGATTTATAAATCTTCTGTCTAGTGCATAGCTGGGCGAATGCCATTTGCACAGTATTACCACCACTAAATGTAGCCAAGGAGCATAGCAATTTCCTATGGCAGTAATGTGAATGGCATCTGCCCAGCTATACACTGGGCGAAAGATTTCTAAATCGGCCCCTTGCTGTCCCTCCAGTTTTCATACATTTGGGTGCCAGACTAAGGAACAACAGAACACTAATCTCTCTGTGAGCTTCTGTTACAAAAAAAAATCTGCTCTAAAGTGTTTTAAGTTTAAAATTCCAGCCTGTCATAAATGGTTTATTTCTGCTCTAGCCTGTGTCATTATGTAATAGGTAACATTCTTATAAACTCTTTTGACAGTAAACAATGGACAAGCCAACGTGGATTTTAAGGGCACAGAGTGTGTCTGCATTGTTCCTCATTAATCTTTTTATTTTTTAATGAAAGTCATTTCTTTCCCAAAGTTGTTCTAACATCATTAGTTAATATGTGCATCAAAGATTTGACACAGTGTGTACAAAAATAATGAGGGTCTAATGAAGAAGTATATTGTTTTACAATTATTATATCTCCAAACTATGGACCAGCTAACAGGTTTACCTGCTTTTCTTGATATGATGGAAAAACTAATATGCAGTCCAGGACCCAATACCTTAAAGTGGACATTCCCTCTCTTTCACTAAAAACCACATCAGCATGCAGTTTTGCATGCTGACATGAAATCATCTTGCATTCATTAGTTAAACATATTTTGCTCTTACTTACAGTTACTGTTTTTCCACTTCCTGGTCCTCTTGGGCATTAGTGATGTAATCTGTGCCCAAGCAATGCACCCTGGGAAGATTACATAAGCAGTGCATTGCTGGGAAATCTCACCTGTAATCTCTCGAGATTTCAGGGAAAGACATTTTCCTCCCCTGAGTTGATATGCATGGTCACATGTCCTAGTCAAATGTGCCAGATTTCCAGGAAGTAAAGGGATATATATTAATCTGCCCTTAGTAAAAATGGCCAATATGAGAAGACTGGGGAAGAAAAGAAAAAGGTATGCAAAGGATAAAAAAAACTGCTGTTTGTAGGTTGCCATTACTAAACATTTCTAAAGGTGTGTTTGTTATTTCAAAGATATTGGTAAAGTTGCACTTTAATATACCTTTTATATCACTACTTACACATTATATTTCATAAAGGGGATTGACAACACAGTAAAACAAAAAGCGGTGGTTCCTTTAGCATACCGGGATGGTACTTTCATTTTCTTAATTGAAATGGCAGCTTTTTTTGGCACATTATGTTTTGACACAGATCTTTTTTTACATCAAATTGTCATCACCTATATGTAGTCGGTACTGTTTCCAATAGGCAATAGGATATTTTTCATATCTAAAAGTAAATTGCCTTAATCTAAAACTCAGCTTAAAGCTGAGTCTGGCCATGGATGACATAACTCCCATGCATGCACACAGGGGTTACCTGGCTCTCACATCTTACAGATGGCGGAAATTGTACACTAAAGAACAATTGAAGAAAAAAATTAACAGCAGACAGTGAAAAAGTTTGATGGCAGATAGGACATACACTCTACCTATTATCATTTTCTAAAACTTTAGACTTAAAGCAGAACTATAACCTCCTATACCTTAAAGCCAAGGAAGGTGCCATCTTAGCCTATATTTGGATTGCAGCAGCCATGGTGCTGCAGATGTGATCAGCTATGACACCAGCCATTTGAATACTTGAAAGTTCGGATGATAGCTGAAATAAGCACACTGGTAACCTTGACAGTTGGCGTGCCTTAAAGAAGAACTCCAGGCATACATTTTCTTATCCCTTGCAGTGGGGCAACCTTTGCACTGCAAGCGTTAAGTGCTCGCTTTGGTCTCGGCACAAAAATAACAAAGTTACCACTGCTAGGGTTAAGTTCCCCTTAAAGTTCTGCTTTAATCTGTGCTAACAGCTGCTGTATTATGAGGACTATATGACACCATGCTATTGAAGAGAGCTCATATTTGCAACAGATTAATTTTGCAGAATTGTCGCAGGGTCTCTCCTTATAGACACTTAGGCAATGCAAGACATTTTACTGTAAGATCAGTCAGCAAACATCTCATGCTCCCTTTTATCTGTACATTGATCACATGACCATTAATATAACTTCCAAATGTTTGCCTCCTCAAAGTAGAATAATCTGCAATCTTTGTGCTATGTACAACCTGTGCTGTGTATGTTGTGTGCATTCTGTGCTGTGTGTGTAGTGTGCATTCTCTGTGGTGGCCCCATGGTTTGTACCATCTTTGCATTGTGCACTGTCTGTACCTTGTGCTTTGTGCAGTGTTTTCTCTGTTATGTGCATGCCTGTGTGTACTCTATGGTGTTAATGTTCTGTGCCCCCATGTTGTAAATTTGCCCACCCTCTTCACTTTCTGGGAATGCAAGAAGTGACATCCTCTTGTTTTAAGTCATATTAGGAGTTTTCTCTGCTATTCAGACTTGTAAATAGTATTTAATGGGCTCTGACTTCATTTTAGTACTTCCATTTGCTATGTCTTGAGATGGTTTCTCTTTTGTCCCTTAGGCAGGTTTCAATGCAGGGGATGGCTGGAGGTATTTTAATATTCCTGGCTCTCGGACAGATGACATTGCAGGAATTGCAAACACAACTAACATAGGAATTCCTGGACGCTGGGTCTTCCGGATAGACAACAACAATGTTCAGGTTGGAGGATGCAGCAATGCAAGTACGTGGTAACCAACTTTGTGGTTAAACCAATATGCAAAAGAAAGGGAATGTTTGTGGTAATAGGACTAGACTGTACATAGTGTTCATAGCAAAGTTTAACATTTCTTCAACTTAGACTTTTCAAAGTATAAATCCCGCCAATAGCAGACACCCCAAGATGTCTGATAATCCCTGTATTGGTAGGAAAATCCTTGTCTCTGTGCCTCTTTGAAAATACTTAACTGTATTAAATTATCAACTTTCACATCGGCCTGGAGGTCATTGGAGTCAGCAGGCTGTTAGGTGTTTTTGAGTGCAGTAGTGCTGAAAAACTTGGAAACTTTTGATCTGAGGTATCCTTGGAAAACACAAAATTCAACATTCTGTATGTGACCCTGGGGCTATCATCCTTATTCTTGCTTTGCTGTCTAATGAGTTCATATAAGGTGTCATATAAGGTGTCTACACCAGATATGCAAATGCTTGTTCTAAGTCACCAACGTTGTGAAGCAAGGATAAGGATGATGGCTGTGAAACATACAACCTGAAAAAAACAAGTTAGCAGTTACACCATCCATATTTCTGTCTTGACTCCATGGCAGACCAATACAATGGACAACTAGACACATTATGGTGAGGTGAGCTAAAAGAAACCAAAATGCCCCCCACTTGAAGTGGAACTTAACTCACCTCCTCTCGCTGGTGCCAACATCTTCACCCGGTCTTTTTTTGGGTTTAGAATCTTCAGTCATCTTTATTCGCTGGGCCGGAATTACATAACTCCTGCGCATGCACACGGAAATTTATTCCGGCACAAAGATGTGCCAATAATGTACACTGAGCTGCACATCAGGGGCGGAACTACTGCCGGTGCAACTGCACCGGGGCCTGAGCCTGGGGGGGCCCAGCAGATCTAGGCACCAGACCAGTGGCAAGGTAGGGGAAGAGATGGTGGGGACCTCTATACAGTAATGCAGAATGGTAATGGCTACAGGTGACCAGAGCGGCATTGTAGGTGGGGGGTGGTGGGGGGGGGGGCAAAAAAAAAATCTTGCACCTGGGCCCATTGTTCTATATGTCCGCCACTGCTGCACATACACATCTTAGTGTACATTATGAAGAAGACTGCAAATAGGCAGCTAAGTTTGTTTTATTGCAGAAGAGATGTAACTTGTCTGCCTGCTTGCAATTTGGTTTTTAGTTGACTTCCACGTAGTAAGAAAAACGGTAGAGCTTTCTTAAAACAAAAAGTATTTGCAGGTCTCACTTCATCACAAACCCTAAAAATATAAGGGGTTTATTCCTAATGTTAGGATAACGGATAACTAATGGAAATCCTTCCTTTTTGCCTCTACTGTGTTCATCAGTTTTCAAAGAAATTCAAGATCATTCTTTAACTTTATTTATGATTGCACACATTAATATATAAACTGCAATCAAACAATTGTGAAGGCAGATCTTGGCACGTTACGCCCTGTAAAGTTTGTTCATTAATTTTCATCATGTATTTACTAACGTTTTTTTATCAAATTATACAAGATATACAAAAACATAGATCAAATATAAACATATCCCTATTAGATTGTAAGCCCTTAGGGGCAGGGCCCTCCTTACTATCTTGTCTTGAATTATATTGTAATTGTAATGTCTTCCTTCTATTGTAAAGCGCTGCGCAAACTGCTGGTGCTATATAAATCCTGTATAATAATAATATAAAAAGATATATATTGTTATCAAATAAGAATGGAGAGAAGGGCACGTATATTGTAGTTAAAGTATTTGTCTAATTAAACAATGCTAATCCATAACACGCCTGCACATCTGGGTAACACATTACTGCTCATTTGAAGCGGAATGTTGTGTTTCATTGTTGGGAGTTCTGGAATCCACCAGTAAGCAAATATTGACCTCAGAATATGCCAAGGAACCAAGCTTCAGTCTCCAAATATTTGACATTGGATTCAATGAAAAACAAATATATGTATGAAAGTGCTATTTTTCTCTACCTGACAACATTTTGGAAAAAGTTCTCTGAATATAGTTTCTTAAAGTGCTTTTTTAAAATAAAATATGTGCGTCCTCTCCAAACAATTCTGAGATATGGGCAAATATCGAATAATATTTTATTCTGCTGCATTTTATTTTGAAGGAAACCTTCTCTGAGAGAAATGCAGAGGCTTTAGCTATTGACATGCTTGTGAAAATGCATGGCTGTCATTGTGATCCTATGTCTTCGATACTTTCTGGATCACTAATCTGGAGCAAATATACAGATGAGGAAAGAGAGGGTGAAGGTAGATCTCCAGTGACTCGGAAATTACTAAAAGTCTAAAACCACTGATTAGCATGATAGAGAGGAATTAGACATCCCACGGAGAGGACAGCAGTAGCAGCCTCCAAAAGCTTTTCAGTCCAGGATTTTTTAAATCATTCATTCATTTTAAGAATATATGCACTTTTGTAGAAATAGCACTATACCAACCCTGCAGCCCTACTGAGAACAGCACTCTCATGGGCATCTCTAGTCTATGGTAGAGACATTAGAAGGATGTAGATAAAGCCATGGCTTAGGATAAGCAGCTGTCACATAGGGGTATATCTGCATCTGAAGGACAGGGGAGGTAGTATAGTGTACTTATAACAAAGATATGCTTATTCTTTAATAAGCAATAGGAAGAGTCAATACTTTGTGCAGAGTTCACTTCAGCATCCCAGTTAAATTTTAATGTGCATCAATGAAAAGCAGTGAAAATTTCTGCTGGGTTGCTTTAGGTTCCTGCATTTCATGTTGCATTTGAAGCATTTTGCTTTATTAAGTCAACTCAGGATAGCAAGTCTGGCATGCACATTTAATGAAACCAAAAATAATTTTTTATAGCATCAGTTTGTTGGAATCTTCGGCCTTGTCAAAATGGAGGTCGCTGTATAGATGACTGTGTCACCGGCAACCCTTCCTACACCTGCTCTTGTCTAAGTGGCTTTACTGGAAAGCATTGTCACATTGGTAAGAATTTACTCTTTTGCTGGCTTTGTCACTGCTAACATGACTCTCTGGATTCTGTAATACTTTATATAAAATAGAATAATATTTATAATTATGGTGTTGGACATCAAGTGGTTTAATATTAGACTGCATAAGGGTTTTTTTTTACTGTGAGAGCAGTATAAATGTGGAATTCCCATCCACAGTAAGTGGTATAAGCTGAAAGCAATGATAACGTCAAAAAACACTTAGATGAGTTTCTCATTTTACAGCATATACAAGGATATGGGAAGGGTTAGTGACATGTACACACACATAGGTTGAACTAGATGGACCTGTGTCTTTATTCAACCTTATCAACCATTAACTATACATACAGTATACAGAGAGTAAGTCTGGGGCAGGGCTAAAAGCGGGTTATGTGGGAAGACAGGAACGTTTCCACAAAAATTGTATTTTATAGAGAGAGAGATTATTGATCCTTTGTAATAACTGTTGTTATTTGTGTACAACACGTGGCATTCCTGAGCCCATTAGCAACCTCATCATTATGAAGCACTGCTGACTGTTGTGGTGCATCTGTTGTACTAAATGGTTGCAGAGCAGATAAGAATTACAATAAAGTTCTTCTCATGTTTGAAGTTGAGTAGCCCACGGGATCTTGAGGCTGCCCACAAATGCTCTGTGGAGCTCAGACTCCCCACTTGCAGCCTGTTTAGAGTCACTTGTCTCTTTTATTTATTACAGATATGGGGAGATGCTTTTCTCAGCCCTGTCAGAACGGAGGCTCGTGTGTTGATGTACCTGGTTCCTTCACTTGTCTGTGTCCCCCAGGTTTCACCGGAATGGTGTGCGATACAGGTAATTGCAGGAAGTTTTGTCATTAAATTGTGGCTTTTTTAAAACATTTTGTTGGAATATTTGTTTGGTAAACCCCTAAAAAGGCAGCTTATTTTTTAAAATGTATTTAGTATGTTATACACAGACATTGAGTTTTCAGGAATTTATAATATCGGTGGTATTCGGTATACTATTTAGCAAAAAATTGAAAATATCTGTGTTCCATTACAGGTGCTTCCAATAATCTAAGAGCTCTATACTGCTCAATACTGCTTGCTTGTTTGATTGGGCCAAAGTGATGCTCAAATGTATGGCCTCCTAAAGTCATCTAAATCCTTTTTGTTTTTTGACCACATGAGCAGGAATTTTGTTTTGAATTTTTTTGCTAGTTTATTGTCCAGTATGTACAGGTTTATTGCCAGGGCTTTAATATACAGTTCATTGATCATGTTTCATGTTGTACCCTAAATATAGGTGACATGGTCAGAAAGTTAAACCTAGCCTTTTAATAAGGATTTACCATGGGAGACCCAAGGATGAAATAGGTTGATTTTTGCACCTAATTTGTTCTGACGCTGTCCGGGTCATCTAAGCAGGCGATTTATGAAAGTACAAGGATTCACAATCAATGCTGGATTTTTATACTTAAAGAAAATCATTTTATTGTAGTTTTAGTTTAGGCTCATAGAGGGGAAGGCGTTCTTCCTTTTATTGCAGTATATGTATGAAGTGCCAGAAATACATCATTTATTAACATTGTGGACTACTGCAGCGGTGTCACAGAACCTGTATTTGACAGAAGTGGTTTTCCATAAGTTGTATGGTACCTTTTATCTGGGAAACTGTACTTTTCATCCTCTTTGTTTTATAATTTTTCCACCTACCCATTTCAAAATGTATGTCATTTACTGTAACATTTCTCTTCTGGTGTGTCACAAGCTTCCTTTGCTTATCACAGATGTTTGGATCTGATATTAAGTTGCACAGTGCATTGCAGCAATATCTGTCAAGTTTGACAGAAGAAACAGGAGATCCCATTCTAGAGAAGGAAAGGGGAGAGTATGCTCAGATGGTTTAAAGGCCACTATCAAAGTCTTATGAAAACCAGCCTAAAATTTAAAAAACTAAAACTAAATACAGTCAGACTCACAATTCGAAATGTGCGTTTTTTACACGATAAAAGGGACAGGTGAGGAAATGTATCAAATATGCACAACAAAAAAGAAAAAGAAAACAATATTATTTGTTTCAAGTCTAGTATATCCTTTTATTCAAAACCAGAGTTACACTTTATGCTGAATCAACTTTCTACCTCTGTAGTAGGACTTCCTGTTTTAATAGCGGTGTAGTACGTACAATTCACACCGAAGCAAAACGTTAAGCTTAAACTAAGCTCTTGTATTGTGTTTTCTGTCTGAGTGTGAGAATCCTGCAAAGGGACAGCAGAGATTTGTTGCCTTGTCATTGTGGGATTTCGGGCCGTGTTTTGTGATATCCTAGTCTAATAGTTCCATGTGGTACAAAGTGATGAGTAATGTGTGAGTGTAGCAGAGGGAGTGTGATAATGGAGGACACTGTGCAGGCATTCATGTATCAATGCTTTCCATGTGTCTCTGATATTAAAGGGATTTATGGCAGTTTAGTCCCTGCTTGTCCTGTTTATCCTAGAGGTATCGCCATGTGTTTACAAGACTTGCTGGAATGGAGGAGTTTGCCAGGACTACTATGGACTTGCGGTGTGCCAGTGTCATCCAAGATACACCGGGGAAAGCTGTGAGACAGGTAGGCGCATGATACTACATGCTAGATGCGCTATGCATTAGCATGAGCTAAACACACATATACCATGCATTTGGCTTAACGCTATGGTGTGAACAGGTTCTAACACACCAGCCTCTTGTCCATATCTACTCTAGATGATTGAGTGGACTTCTCTATTATCCTGCAGCAGTCTTGAAAAAAACGGTCCAGAAAAAAAGCACCTTACCCTTGGCTCCCAACTGTACATCTATGTTTTTTATGTGCTGTTTGTGCTATTTTGTGTGTTTTGATGCATTATAATGTGTTTTTCATGTGTGTTTAATGCTTCATAAGTTCTCCTGTGACATCATTAGGCTTTGTCTTCCTTCAAGCTTCTTGCCTGTTAATACTGAACAAAAAAAAGAAGGTCTGTTGAAGTTCGCACTTTTGATTTGATATGCAGAAGTTTAATTTTATAAAGATACCTTAGCATATTAAATATTTTTTTATTATACTAAGAACGTGAGTTTACTTTGTTTGATTCTGCATTAAGAGGGAAAAACGTCCCAATCCTCAAACACTTCTGAGCAATTTCTTCCTATGCCTTGTGATGCTTGCTCACCACTGTGACCTTGGAGCCGGTCACATAATGTAGGTATAGAGGGGAGCGTTCCATGCTGTCTATTACTAGCACAATCCTAGGAAACCCCACTATGGTTTGTCTGTGAAATGAGGTATTATCTCTGTCTGTGGCACCTCCTGGTATAATTCCTATAAAATAAAGTTCAGTGTCAGGCAGCTACAGAAGTAAATTGCTTGCTGTTTAAAGTGATTCTTTAATAGACATCATAAAGAATGAAACTGCCCTTGCTATTGTTTCTATCTCTTTGTTGCCTAAACAGTGATCATTTTAGTAATTTCACAACATTATGTTTCTGATTTCCAGAGATTAAACCCTGTTTTTCTCATCCTTGTTTGAATGGAGGGATATGTGAGGATCTTGAGGATACATACAGCTGTCTGTGTCCTTTAGGGTTCACTGGAATACATTGTGAAACAGGTCAGTATACAGCAATCCAAAACTCAGCTGATTTTTAATGTTTAATTTCAGGTCAGATGTTGTGTAGTTGAATGAAAAGGGATAAGGCAAAAGCATAATAAAAAGCAATTGTGCTACCAGTAAAGTAAATTTCTGCAATAAGAAGGCAATGCTATATCAAATTAAATCTAAAACAGTTTTTATTATTAGAAATTAATCTAAAGCATAGTAAATATATATTCGCCAGACTCCATTTGTGAGCATACATACCAAAACAAACATTCTTTAGTTGTTTTTAACGAAGCGATGCATTTTTTGGGGCTCGAAAAAACACACTAGGTCTTATTTTCGGGGTAGGTCCTTTTTTTTTTTTTTATGTACAACAATCCACACTTTTTCATGTACAACAGTCTACATGTATTCATGTACAAAATATGGTGATCAGGGCAATCAGGGGTGCCGTACCTTTCCAAGAGCAATTTGCTAAACAATCGCTGGCAGAAGGAGCGAAGCGCACTTTCACTATCGATTCCTCACAGGCGGAGTGCACTTGGTATCACTCCGCCTGTGACAGGAGCCGGCGCTTTAGAGGAGGCATCTGCTTATGTGGCTCTGCTCCCTCCGGTGCCGCCTCGCTTCCTCTAGTGTTGGCTGCGTTGGCACCGCTGATTCTCTCCCGCGGCTCAAGTTCCCCCTTATGCCACCACCGGCCCTGGTAATGGTCACATCTAGGTCTTATTTTTGTGGTAGCTCTTATATTTTAGCAATTCCCAAAAATAGTACTAGGTCTTATTTTCGGGGTAGGTCTTATTTTCGGGGAAACAGGGTATATTCAATGCTTCTCATCACCATCTAGTGACCATAATTCTATATTACATAAAAACACTTGAAAATACTTTGAGGGGAATTTATCAAAACTGGAGCAGACAAAATCTGGAGCAGTTGCCCATGACCAATGAGGGGAATTTATCAAAACTGAAGAAGACAAAAACTGGAGCATGGCAACCAGTCAGCTTCTCTCTTCAGTTTTTTCAGTTAAGATTTGAAAATGAAAGAGAGAAGCTGATTGGTTGCCATGCACAGCTGCTTCAGATTTTCTCTGCTCCAGTTTTGATAAATTCCCCTCCTTGTCTTGTAAAGAAAAAGAACGTTCAGAGCGACCGTTCACAGATATTCAAAGACTGAAGGGCCTTGCATAGAGTTTATAAGTGACCTATGCTAAAGTTGCCAAAAACAACCCATAACAGAACATATAATAAGTTGGTATTACTGCAGAAGTCATGTGAATACGAGCAGTCCTCTGTAGACTTATTTTTTAAACAAAGCTATAAGGTAAATTAAACAAATGGATGCACCTGTAATCTGCAGCTGCAATAAAAACAGCAGTTTAATATTGGCCATGAGTATAAAGGAATGATTTTTTAAGCTCCATCACCTTTTTTGGTTATGCAATGAATTGATCATTTAAAGGAAATGTATAGAGGCTTTGGTAAACACAGTAATTTGCTTCTTTAAACAGTCCCAGCGGTAACCACCACACTTTTTGTAAGGTAAATGCCCGGGTGCTTATCCACAAAAATATCTATACAAATCCAAAGGAGATATAGAGGCACTTACGGGGCTCCAGCGGAGATAAGTCAAAGCATTAGCATTTTATTGTCAACATTTCGATGGAGCTCAGTTCATCTTTATCAAGTCTTAATAAAGACAGACTGAGAGTGAAACATTGACAATAAAATGCTGATGCTTTGACATATCTCCGCTGCAGCACCCGTGAGTGCCTCTATATCTACTTTTAATTTGCTTCTTTATTATGGACAGGAAAATGTTTGTTCTTTCTTCTTTTCTTTTTTTTTTTTAAATTAGGTTAATTGCAAATGAAAATTTCTTAATCTTATAATTTTTTTTCCAGTTTTGTAGTTTAAGCTAATTTACACACAATTCTGAATGAGCCATAGAAGTAACCCATCCCCTATCACTTAGCTTAATCTAAAGTTTCTGTCAGATAGGGGCCATTCTAAAAAGGGAGGTATTTTTGATGTACTGTCTCTTTAGCTAACCCATAGTGCTCTGGGAATTCTTTGTCATCTATTATATGTTTAATTGTTAAAGTAAAATGTATGATATATATATATATATAAAACATAAACAACACCAATTAAAAAAGTATAGTAAAACTTCCCTTCAAAACCTACTCATTATAAACAACGTTTTCTATATCTTGCTCTGACATGAGTTAGGAAATGTGGTTGAAATTGATAGAAAAAAAACGTGTGCACGTAAATGTGCAACTGCTAGAGCCCCCATCTGGGTCTCCACCGGCTATCACTGTTTTTTTTGTTCTTAGAGATCAGACCTTGTTCCTCATCTCCTTGTTTAAATGGAGGGACCTGTGTGGAGTCAGGAATCACATACACTTGTTCTTGTCCTCCTTGGTTCACAGGAGCCCACTGTGAGGATGGTAAGTATCTGAGACTAAAAGCCATATTGGGTTTAGTAGGTAGTTAGTAGGTAGAGGTTTTCATCCTCTTGCTTATTGTCTCCAATATCTGTTTCTAGCTATCAGACCCTGCTCATCAACTCCTTGCCAGAACGGGGCAACATGTGAAGATGTGGGTGATACATTCAACTGTCTATGTACCAGAGGGTTCACAGGAGTGAACTGTGAGACAGGTCAGTAGCTTTGACATGAAAAATGATTTATTGGTTGTTGGTGTGAATATGTGGTAGGTTTTTAGCTCACAGTAAAATATATAAAATGTTATACCCACACTGAAAACTTTTCTTCCCACCATAGGTGATATTTAAGAAATCCTGTCATAGGGGAAATATGTTGGCTTTAGTCGGACCTGGAACAAGTATAGGGATAAGGAATTCTGACTTTTTTTTTGGTAGATGTTTAGTAGATGTTTGTTTCATGTGCGTAGTCCTTCTCAGAAGTAAAGGAGCCACACACATTCATTTTCAGAAGGAAGCCATCAGTGGCAGAAACCAGGAGCTATTCTATTTGACCCTTAGAAAAACCAAGAACTCATTGATCTTGGCTATATTTCTTTGTGATTGATCAGACTGTTACCAACTGAAGTGTTTACCTTTTCTCTTACTTGCATTTTATTCTCAGAACTAAAGCCATGCTTTTCTTCTCCATGTCTGAATGGTGGCCTCTGTAAGGACGTGGGTTCTAGTTACAGCTGTCTGTGTCTGCGTGGGTTCACTGGACAACGGTGTGAGACTGGTGAGCTGTTCTTTGGTTTAATCTGCATTTGCCTTTATTCCTCCTATTAGTTTTTCATATGCCCGAATAGGTAAAATGCCCTTCCTGGTATATGACTGACATTGATATGGTGTCTTCAATTTGTAAGAGAAGAACTTTAGTCTTATGGAAATACTGGATACTGTAATTAAATGAGGAACTTTTCTAATCAGTTATAATGACAGCAATTCTGTAAAACACCATAAGAGATATCTATATTACAGCATGGGAGCTTAGATGTATTTTTTTTTCTGGTTTGGGAATGCTTAGCTATGGCATGTTGATGTGGAGTAGGCACACAGCTCTCCCGGTTTTTTTTCCCCCATTGTTCATTATTGTGACTTTATCTTTTCAGACAGGGTTGCTTTTTCCTGAAACTGCTTTGCACTTATGTTCACAGTTTATATTGTTTAGTGGAGTCTGCCTTCATAGGGACATTGGAGGACACATTTTAAGCATAGTTCATGTGCAGTTGCTTTCTGGGAGAAGGCATCTATAGTGTAGTGTCCATAACAGCGATATCACATCTGACCGCATAGTATAGTTGCATTGCTTATGTACATTTATATATTTTTTTTATTGCATTCTAGAGTTGAAACCGTGTTATTCATCACCATGTCTAAATGGGGGGATGTGTGAGAATACCGGTGATACGTATCGGTGTGTGTGTCATCAAAGGTTTACAGGGAGACACTGCGAAACTGGTAAGAATGGGAAGATTATCTTATTAACAGTTGGTGGAGTTAGACTGCACACAGACATTATAATAAGGGTACTTAGTGGGCAGAGTTCCACGCTCGTTACTTGTGAGCCAGTTTGGCCGAGCTTACAAACAGTGCCGGTGCTAGGATTCTTGCCTACACAGGCAAGGTGCATTTTTGCGCCGCCCCCCCCAACTCCGACGCCCTGTAAAAACAGGGCATTTTGACAAGTACTTGTACTTGTCAAAATGCCCACAAGTAGCTTTTGTGGCAAGGGTAAAGGAGTGGAGCAGAGATTGCACCTGATGTCAGCTTTTGTGCACTGGAAAAACAGGAAAAATTACGATTGGATCAGGTTGACCTGCTCAATAAACTGTTACCCCTGACATCTGGCTGGCTTGGGGTACATGCACAGACATAGGATCCGCAGACTCTCATCAAATCGTTGTTTGTACCCTTATGCCAACAATAGTAGGTGGTGGTATGATGACCTGTGTCAGTTTTTATAAGTTCTATGCCAGAATGCACCACAAAAAAACTGGAATCTGACTTGTTTCTTTTGGGGAGTTTATGTAGCCATAGACATGAGGTGATGATAACCTGATCTAGCTGTTTTTGGCCAAAGCAGGCAACAGACAAACTGTATGTCTTTGGGGACCATGAGACACCACTGGCTCGCTGAGTGTAGGTGTAATGATCAGCTGAATAGGTGTGAAAAAATTACATGATCGCCATTCCATTACCAAAGATAAACATGTACGGAGCTGAGCAAACATGTTTATTGGACAGGTGGCTAAGATACAAGCCTATGGGAAGTCTTGTTTCTACATGGATCTATGGCCAGCTTTGGTGTGTACCAGTTTTCCTCATACCAATAACTACATTTAAGTAATCTATATAACATTCAGGTACTGAATTAACAAGTAGCCTGAATGTCTTTAAACCTTCTTGATGTTATTGTTTTCTTTGTGCTTTTAAGTGTATGGTTTACTGTAGTTTAATACACTGAGTGGCCAGATTATTATGACCACCCCATCAGTACTTCGTTGGGCCACGAGATGACTTCGTTGGGCCGCCTCGTGACTCCCCGAGATGTTGAAAGGTGATACGAGGAATCTGACACTGCACTGTTGCCCTTCTGTTGTCTTGTACCAGTCTTGCCACTCTCTGTTCTGCCCTAACATTGACTAGTCGCTGACGGCCACAATTCGCATGTTCAGACCCAGATTTTCGGCTGACAGTCCAGTCTTTAAACACTTGAAAACAGCTGCTCTTGAACATTTAACGAATTTGCTGATACTCGCTCCAGGGCTTGAGCGCCAAGAATCATCCTACGTTCAAAGGCTTGTAAAATTGCGTTGTTTACCCAGAAAAAAATCACTTCTACTGTCGTGGTAAACAACCTGCTTCCCTATTTATAATGGTCTGGCGCTCTAGCAACTTTGCCCTTCAGCGCAAAATTATAGCTAATTATAGCTAATTTGCCTACAAACGTCAGGTGGTCATAATAATCTGGCCACTCAGTGTATAATGAATACAACATCTTATAACATGCAAACCTCAATCATACCCTTTGCTTCTTCATACTGTATATGGGAAATGAACAGATGATATGAGGGTTTAATTGATAAAAGCTAATAGTGGTGATCTAACAGCAGTGTGCATTCAGCTGCTATACAAAAATAATTTGTAAATCTGGTCACATACAGTCAGATTTGGATTTGTCAAATAAACAAAATATACCAATAACTACCCACTGACCCATATAGTCAATTTTTACTATGTCCACCCAGTAAACCCTCATACAGCAGCTATAGGTAAATTTTGTGGACCAGACTCTGTTTGGTTCATTTATGCCTACATTGAGGATGAAATTAAAAATGGCAACCACCCAGTTCATTTTATACCTAGTAGGGTGCAAATGGGCTGGGCAGTTCACAATACAATACAGTATGAAAAGTCCCAAAGCACACTTGGCTACTAATCAGCAAAAAAAAAAAAAACCCAACAAAGTTAACTGCTTTAACACTTTGTGTTAAAAACTGAGGTTTTTGTTGCATACACTTGTAAATATTAATGAAAGCCACACTGCCCCTCCAATGTATCTTTTTAAAGTGTAGTACCTAACTCAAGTTCAACAGAGCTCCAATCTCAATACATATATAACATTAAATTTATTAAAGGTAGGTACACTCGTAGTTAGCCCATTCCTCCTTTCAAGGTCCAGGGTCACACTAGACCCTGGACCTCAAATGGCTGCTGTTTTTGGTGATTGGCAGATAAGGGCACTCAGGCATTTTTGTATTGCAATGTTCTGAGGGTAACAGAATCAAACATTTTAACAGTGATTAACAAGATATTGTATATGGAAATTTAACGCAACCATGGTGGTATTTTATGGGGGATGTTTAATTAATTTGCCTCCAGTATTTATTACCCTCTTTTATTCCACTCCATCATCGTCATGTTTATAGTAAAGGAAAGAATGCTTACCATGTTATAGGGGTTTTCCAACTTTATATTACAATTACCGCATATGTGCCCTGATGCAGCTTGTGACAAATCAGTGGGTTTACCTGTCTGGGTTCCTGCTGTTGTTGTTTTTATTATCAGCTAGACAGATACTCTTATTTTGATTCATATTTAATGTTTCAAATGGAGCCAGTGTTCCTTAAGCTGTGCCATATCCAAGGGCAAAGAACACAGACCTGGATGATATTTGTTTAGTCAAGCAACATGACTAATGTCTTCTATTGATACATCTTACATTCTTTATGAAATGAAAAGGTGTGGCCGACTGTTCTTTCTTGAGCTATGTAGGAACTATGGCAACCTATTTGTAGTGGCGGGGTCTCAATCATTTTGAAAAATAAAAGGTGTCGTCTGAGTGAATCATTACTCAGGACAAAGAGGAGCAATGGAGTGTAGGCTTAGTACATATGAATTGCACTATAGCATAAATTCTATATGTACCAGATAAAGAGACATAACCTGTTGTCTAATTTATAATGTGAATGAAGGTAATTGTCTCAAGAGTCCAAAAAAAACTTATTTGGCTACACAAATGATGACAAGAAGATATGCACAGCCAACACCTTTCTGGGGTCAGGAATCCCATTTATCAGGTCTTAAACAATGGACTCTAAACTTACAGCCCCTGCAGACAATCCTTGGAGAATGGAAAATTCAATTTCTCGATCGATTCAGCATTTGTACAAGTAACATTACTTGTACAAATTCTGAACTGCTGGTGAAGATCTTTTCACAAGGTTTTTTTGAGCTCTTGAGACAATTACCTGACACTCTTTTTTTAGTCTTCATTCAGATGGATTTCTCATTCTGGGCGTCCCCTCCCTCTGGAGGGTCCCTCAGTTCGTGAAGAACTGCTGCAACCAAGCCATCAGGCTAATATTGCTCCTATCTGGGTAGAGAAAGTTCGTGGTCCAGCCCCCCATCCTTACTCATCCTTGGTCTTTATTATAATGACAGTGACAGAAAATGTGTTTAACCCCTTCGTGACGGGAGACGTACACTGTACGTCCAGCCACAAAAGACTCAACTCAGGAGTTAAATCTTAAAAATGCATTTAAGTACCTTAACTATTAACAAAAATGTTATTGTAAAAAAGTATTGAGATTGTAGTGCATCACGGGAACAAGCTTGGAGTGGTGACTACTTTACAGCACACACAGGGACCATAGGGAACAAAAGTAGCCCCCCTCCAGTAGGAAGGACAGTGTCTGCACCAATTCAGAGATGATTTGAGGATTTACAGGCGAGTGATACACAAATAAGATAGATTTTTGTTAATAGTTAAGGTACTTGAATGTATTTTTAAGATTTAACTCTTGAGTTTAGTGTCACTTTAAGCCATTACCGTTCACCACAAGTAATCATCTGTCACTGGATAGGAACATTCCTAGAATGTTGACAAAAGACAATTCAGTAATTGACTTTTGTTGAGCTGGCAGAGCCACACACTGTAAGAATTTCAGCCAATTCCTGTAAATTGACCAAAATTCTAGCGGTGTCCAGCCTTAGTAACTTTCCATTCCCCTCTGAGCCACCACTGAAATTACAAATCTAAGTAAGAGAGTCGCAATCGCCTTGCTGCATCTATGATAATGTAATATTATACTGTAGATCGGAGCTCAAAATTTCAAGTCCTGAGCTACCAGCCAGGCCTAAAAGTTACTCGCCACCAGTTGCCCCACCTAACCCCTACCCTGCCCCGGACTTAACTCCGCCAGGTCAGTAATGTGACGCACAGCGCAGAGGTCAGCGTGACGCACAGCGCAGAGGTCAGCGTGACGCACAGCGCAGAGGTCAGCGTGACGCACAGCGCAGAGGTCAGCGTGACGCACAGCGCAGAGGTCAGCGTGACGCACAGCGCAGAGGTCAGCGTGACGCACAGCGCAGAGGTCAGCATGACGCACATCGCAGTGTGACGCACAGCGCAGAGGTCAGAGTGACGCACAGCGCAGGGTCAGTGTGGCGCACTGCGCAGGGTCAGTGTGACGCACTGTGCAGGGTCAGTGTGACGCACAATGCAGAGGTCAGTGTGACGCACAATGCAGAGGTCAGAGTGACGCACACCGCGCAGAGGTCAGAGTGACGCACACCGCGCAGAGGTTAGAGTGATGCACACCGCGCAGAGGTCAGAGTGAAGCACACCGCGCAGAGGTCAGAGTGACGCACACCGCGCAGAGGTCAGAGTGACGCACACCGCGCAGAGGTCAATAGATATCTGTATATCTATATATAGATATATATAATGTTCCTTTTCCTTACATCTTCTGAGGGCCTAGGAGGGCAGTTGAGATGCTAAGCTTGTTATTTAATACAAATCTGCCTCTTTTTTTTCTAGAGATTACACCCTGCTCTTCATCCCCGTGTCTCAATGGTGGAACGTGCAAAGATTTGGCTGACAGCTACACGTGTTTGTGTACTCAGGGGTTCACAGGAGATCATTGTGAAACTGGTGAGGAAATCACAAGGCTGTAAGTAAAAGGCACATAAATGAGCAGGAATACTTTATCATAAAAAAAATTTAAAACCTTTTTTTACATTTATAGGAAAATATATTTGTGTTCCTGACTCTGTTATTTAGAAACATAAAGGGCCTATTTATACCTATCTATTGTGGTGCATTGTATTATTGCATGCATTACCGCAACGCACCATACACACATTAGTGCTATGCGGTGGCATTCATTTCTAATGGCACCCCAATGCCCTAGGGGCCCATTCACAACATTTCACTGTGTGTCATGCATACTGGGGTGTGCTGCAGTGGCAATTTTTGTGAATGGCACCCCAAATGCATCTTCCCAAAGGAAGTGTGCTGCAGCTCATCGCAGTACTTAGTAACACACTGCCATGTGTTGTGATGTAGTACAAAAAAATTGCAGGTCTGATTTTTAGATGCCTTGTGCTGTGTTTAACCGAATGAGCTGCCTTGACGCAACGCAGGCTAACCCACAACATTACACATATTAACATGCTAATGTTAAATACACTGCAACCGTCTTACCTCACCGCAATGGGCAGCCTAGGTGTGAGCGGGCTGGTAGTAAGGAAGTAGTTAAGATATAAAATTAAACTTAATGGTTATACTAATAATGATCTTGACTGGACTGCAATCTTTCCCAGGGCTATTGACACTATAAATGTGTTTAACTCTATGTACATAGCTCTCCAACTCATTGCTGAAGAGCGATGATCCCCCACAGATTTGGGGTTATTTAAATTTTCAGAATTGCTCAAGGGGCATTAAAGGAAACTAGTACTGAGAACATACTGCACATATTCTGCCTTTGCATGTTATCTGACTGCTGTGTTCATCTAAAAGTTTAAATGTTTTCATTCACTAACCCAGAATGAGTATGCAGATGAAGAGTTTTGACATTTGACTGACATCTCTGGCCATACGCTTGTTCTACATCAGTTTTTTTTAGCAAGTACTGTGGCCAGACAGACAATTATCATTTTTAGAAGGAGATCAGCAGTGGCAGCCCTGTATTTATCTCAGTACAGGTTTCTTTAATTGCATTAAGGTAGGTTTGCTGCACTCGGAAACATTGCGTCTTCCTCAAAATCCTAGCCTTTATGCAGCCCTCAGAGACTAGGGTTGGATAACATTACTGTATCTTGATGGCATATCTCTGTTTTCATCTGGATTTCTATGAATATGTATATTTCTGTCTCTTCTAGAACTCAAGCCTTGTTCTTCTGCTCCTTGTCTGAATGGAGCATTGTGTAAGGATGTAGGTGAAAGTTACAGCTGTGTATGCAAGCGTGGATTCACTGGGGAGCACTGTGAGACAGGTAACATCATCCCACATGTCTTATTACTCTAACATTGTTGAAAGTAGTGGCGGAACACTCTGTAGAGACCAACGGAAATAGGGAGCAAGAATGGCTGCCAACATTACTATTATATAGATAACTAACACAGTATGGAGAGTGCCACAAGCAGAGCCTAGTGCCCAAAGGTCCTGCTTATGGCTTCCAAAGCTGTTGCTGAGGACATGCCAATCCAGATAGTCCCAAAAAGAGTCCAGCTCATCTTGATTAAAGGAATAAAATGTAAACTTTTTCTCAGCAGAGAAAAGAAAAATGTTCATCCTCCTAGGGCTCTTACCAAAAAGTATTTATATAGCATTATATCAACTGGTCACTTTTTTTATTTGTCGGTGTCCAAATACTCCTGTAGGTGGCAGTATAACCCAGATGTCTCTGAATTCTGTGTCCCCCAGGGAATGAACATATGTTTATGTGTTGGTATAGGACGAGTTCCATTGATCCATGTTCTCTAATTTTGTCTGCTTTTTAAGAACAATTGAAAGTGTTTTGTTTTGATTTTCTGGGGCTATCTATAGTATCCATATACTTTGAGGGATTTTTTCTAAATCTTTTTATAGAGATAACATGTTGGATACTGATACCTGAGGGTAGGGAGCAGTGACGTGCCGTTGCTTCTGTGCAGGGTGAGGCCCCCCCCAGCCCGCCGAAGCTCCGCCCCGCAGAAGCCCCCTCCCAGCTCGGTAACAAAGCTGTGTGGGGAGGAGGAAGGGCAGAGACAGGGAGGAGCCTCCCTATCCCTTCCTTGCTCGTCACTGCTGAGGCATCGAGATGGCCTCAGTGGGCTTTGCCATTGGTTCAAGCCATCCACAGAGCGCACGCCTCTAACACAGAGTAGAGGCTGTGACAGCTCTTGCCTCACCATGTTGGGTTGCACAGTCGGTGGGGAAGCCTGCTGCTGTGTAACCTAACTACCTGTCAAAAGCCGGATGCAGCGCTGCCTGTAATTAACATGGACGGCGCTCCGTCCATGACAGGTTACATCACGGGGAGGCTTTCCCTGCTGTGTAACCTGCTAGAAGCCGATCTGAATGGAGAAAAAGCTGTCCGCTTCAGACTTAAAGCTGACACTTTTTTTCTTGGTTTAATAATTTTTGTTTCTTTTTTAGAGATCAAGCCCTGTGCATCATTTCCTTGCCTAAATGGGGGGACATGCAAGAATCTGGAGGATAGTTACAGCTGTGTGTGTGCATGGGGGTACACCGGTGAACGCTGCCAGACTGGTGAGGAGACTTAGAAAACTCTTAAGTTAATTGAAATATGTTTGTGTTTTGTTATTTAGTCCATCAACAGAACAGAAATAAATACATTGCTAAGAAAAATCTCTTGTGCTAAATAAGGGCCATGTCCAGATAGATCACACAGAAGGACCTGTCAATGCGTAGTGCTGCAGCATAAAAGGTGTTATATAGCGTGCCACCTTCAGTCTGAACCACTTATAATGTTTCTCTTACAGACTTAAGCTGTTTCTTTGGAGATTATTCTATTCTTTTTATCATTCCAGTTTTGGTAAATGTTTTACTATGGTACACGTAAATAAGTTTGGCACTAGAGTCCATGCACTACATCCCCAACATTGAAAATAATTAGTAACTAGAATGTTAGGTGATGGGGACTTTTCATGTGCCACAAAGATTTAGACACATTTTGTTGTAAAAATATATATATATATATAAATAATTTAAAAAAAAACTCCGAAACCAAACACATAGGCTTGACTTGAACATATATTACAAATATAGATCGAGCAATTATATGGTGATATGAATGGCTATATATGATTAATCAGATATAGCCATTCACACACCCACCATATATATAGTATTATCATCAGCATGAATAAGTTGTACTATACTATGATATTCTATGCTGTTCTATGGTAAAGATGGAAAGGCAGAGTACAACTTTAAAATACTTTTAAAATGAGGAACTGTATACAACAATGTATTAATTTTACCTTATATATTTACATTGGGAGAGAAGCTGCTTATCAGTTTTGCATGGAAGATGGAATTTTGTTCATGTCCAACTACCTTTAATTTTACTGAAATATTGTATTTTATTGTGCAAACACCTCAGCTCACATAGAGCAGAATATGAGTAATTCCTGTTGCATCATGGGAAACAGCTGTTTTATTTTTTATATTGAAAAAATGCTATGCTATATCAGGTGTTGATTCATTTTGTTTTTCTGCATTTGCCTAACTTTTAAAAGCATACATCATACACAGTAACTGTTTAATGATGTGGTGATTGTTGTTTGGAAATTACATTGGTTTTATTGTGTGTGGCCAGTTTAGATGGAAATAATGTGTAGGAGAGTTTTTCCGTAATATTTCTTCTGCCTCTAGAGATCCAACCATGTTCATCCTTTCCTTGCCTTAATGGGGGCATTTGTGAGGACACCCCTGATGGATTCACCTGCTTGTGCAGACAAGGATACTCAGGCATTCAGTGCCAGACAGGTGAGATGGGCACTCTCTATGCTTACTGCCAGCTAGTGATGTTGGTGATACATGCTTGCTGTCCACCACATGTATAGGAGTTTCCCATAGGGATATTGCAAAGATACTAACCAACTCTTGTATATCTCATTTTATTTAGAGATTAAACCATGTTCTTCATTTCCATGCCTGAATGGGGCAATGTGTAAGGATGTGGGTGCTAATTATATCTGTGTGTGTCCTCGAGGATTCTCTGGTTCACACTGTGAAACAGGTAAAATAACTCTTGTTCTACTTTTTGGGTCAGAGCCATAGCCACTGTCTTCAGTTTATGTATCTGCTATTCAGGCAGATGGGTGCTGAGAGTCAGGTTAGATCTAAAATCAATATTCTGTAAGGGATACCTTCCATTTTGATGTTCACATTTATTTTACTTTTCCATGTGCAGTCATTGTATTAAATTGAGATGTAGAGGTAAAGCATCTAATGCAGGCTCTCTGGGATTCAACAAAGTGGGTTTCTGTCTGCTATTGTTTTCAGTGCGTTTATGCACTCATACATTTTTATTATGAGAAGATGCAGTAAAGTACAACCATTGCGTAGTGCTGCAAAGAAGGATCAGAGCTTGAGTAGGTAGTGAGTAGAGATGAGCTTGAGATTGGTGTGAACCCAGCTCACCTGCTGAAAACTATGATGGCCACTTTCCCCCATCCCACCCCCATCATTTGCAGCAGTTTCAGTGGGGACATTCACCTCCTCTCCGTGACGTATAGCTGCGGGATGGGGAATAATGCCTCTCCTCTGAATGGGCTGTGAGGAGGGGGTGGAAGTCACAGTTTTGAGCCGGCTTGATCACATCCAGGCACCAAGTCCAGGGTCATCTCTAGTGGTAGTAATTACTCCTATGTACATATATAGTTACAAAATATACATAGAAGTAAGGCTTTTATAGTGTTGGCACACACTGATAAGGTTGTTTGCATTAATCTGATCTCTTTTTCATATTTAAAAAAAAAAATAACATTATGAAGACTGTACATTCCCTTTACTCAGTTCACTATCACATATTATACATGTGGTACCCTTTTCTAGGCAGCCAGTGACATATGTAATATTTCATGGTAATCAAAGGGTTCAAACAAGTCTACAGCTGCAAAGGTTTCTGCAAGGTTTCCATTTCAGCACCTGTCCTGTCCATTGACTGTAAAACATTTACATAAAAATGCTTTTACAAAAAGTTTCAAATTTAGGCTTAGCTGTCTTTTATTAGCACAATACATTTTTTATGTTCTATGACTGGTTGGCATTTTTGGGTTTTTCTGCACTGAGTTTATTGTACTTTTATAGAAAATATTGTTAACGTTCTCATTAGATGTACAAAAACAACAGTCCCATGCTGTAATTGTATAGGTCCTGTCTTTTCAGAAAATATATGGTTTTGGAAAGTGGGAGGTGTCTAACAAATGTGAAAGATGGTCTGGCCATCTAACATAGAAAACAGAAGGCAGTACCTGGCTGCAAAAGGGTTAAATGGTAGCAAAGTCCTACTCCAGCAGGGTTACCTTTTCTTTAAACATGAATGTATTTTGAATGTATAACATTCATTGGCTTTTTTTCTACTTTTCTAGAAACTCGACCATGCTCTTCATTTCCTTGTCTGAATGGTGGGATGTGCAAGGACATAGATGACAGCTATAGCTGTGTGTGTCCCTGGGGGTATACCGGACAGAGATGTGAGACAGGTGAGAAGATAACTGTATTTTCATTGATGTGTATACAGTGTGTCATATAAATGTTAGTTTTACGTCTTAGTGGAAATATAACTTGATGGGAAAAAGCTTTGCAACTTGGCATAGTTTTTCGTTTTGGAATGCAGGGGTGAATTCCTCCATTGAACACCAGACCTAATTAAATGACTCAGTAAACTATAATTCCATGCCTACTGTTCTTAGATCAGATAGGTGAAGAGAGGTCTCCCCAAATTAGTGCCCAATAGTTAATCTGACCTATGCCATTGCCTCTTGCTTTCTCATCTAACAGTACCTGTGTAGGGAGCTTTATCACAACTCTGTAGCAAGCCTTAGATATTAGCTGTGAAAACTCTGTGTAAAAATCACATAAATGGCTTTTAACAGCCTCTATGTTTGTGTACCTTTAATAAGTATCTTCTCTATAAGACTTAATGAAATTCCTGCATGGTGTAAAAATAGCTGACATAAAGATTGCACATATTATTAGACAGCGTTTCTGCTTTCTGCCCAGAGTTAAGACCTTGCTTGTCATCTCCTTGTATAAATGGTGCCACTTGTGAGGACATGAGTGATGGTTACAGCTGTGTCTGCACAGAAGGATTCACTGGAGTACATTGTGAGACAGGTAAGCAGTATTGTTCATTATTAATGGAAACCTCCAGGAAGTATTATTAGGAATCTTTATTGCATTGGTGTCATTGGCAGTAATAGTACTTTGAGCGTTGTTCTCGTATTTCATATTGAGCCATATCTTGTGACGAACGCCCTATACTGTAGCAGGAAGATAGAAAAAATTTGGTAAAAGCCATCTAAAAATTCATATTCATACACATTGTGGTACAGGGCAAGTATCCTTGTGGAAAATATATCCAAGGTTTGAAACCCAAGATTGAAAAATTGGGTGCCAGCAGGTTCACATACTGCTTGAATTTTGGCTGAGTAAGCAAGACTCGGACTAAATTTGAGCGGTGTATGGCCAGCTTTAGGTGTCTCACAGAAAATTCCTGCCCTATGGCGACAACGCTTACTACAGTTTAGCTGCATTTTTGTCACCCTTTCCTGCGCACTTTAGAGCTGGGACTACAAGCAGTCATGCTGGCACATTCTGTCTTTGTTACCAAAGAAAAAGCACACACATATGCATAGGACATTCCTACAAAGAGTTTACAGGATGTGCACAGCACAGGTAGATAAAACATGACCAACATAGGGGGAAAACAGTTTTTTTCATAACAAAAAATAATGCAATCCTGTTTTACTTACAGTGCTTTACAAAATATCTCTTAGTGAGAGTTTTGTTCTACTTTAATTTGTTAATGTCTTCTTCTTTCTTGTCTATGTTTATTCAGAGATCAATCCTTGCTCATCTTCCCCATGTGTTAATGGAGGTACCTGTGTCGATCAGGGTGTAAATTACAGCTGTTCCTGTCCCCAAAGATTCACTGGGGAGCATTGTGAAACAGGTGAGCCAAGCTTTGTATGTCCAGTATGATAAGGATCTGGTGAAACAAAGTATAACATATAAACCTGTGCCAGAAAGAATACATATGTAACAACATCGAGCTACAAAGGAATGTATGCGGCTGAGTGGTTTAGGAATGCTGTGGAATATATCAAAACTTGTGTTCTAATATGAACATTGATTGCTTCATCGAGATAATAGAGTTTAAGAGGGTTTTAAATGTGTGATGAATATATTTTGTTGTATATATTTTTTGTATTGTTTATTAATACAATTAAAGAAATTATGTATGAAATATTAGAAATAATGTAATGACAGGGTTATCTCTAAATATTAGGGAAATTAGTATAAGGTTGCATGATTGATTGTATCCAATCTGGATGGTTTATAGGATCCAGCTAGGATGGCTAACTTCATTTACGCACCCTGCTAACGCGTTTCTTCCTTAGTATGGGACTTCCCCAGCCATGTCCTTGAGTGGCTGTAATTAATAATTGCCTAACATGGTTGCTAAGAGAAATAAATGAGTCTGTACTACAGGATGTCCTGTCACATGATCTCTCAATACGTTTGTGGTCCTGATTAGGCAGATTGCTGGTAATGTTAATGTACCTTTACTGCTATTATAAATTTTGGAGTTCTAAATGAGCATATTTAATTTGATTTTATATATTCGTTGTACTGTCAGATCTGCATTTGATGTCTAAGCTAACACAGCTATATCTGCTAAAGTATGACAGCTCTACGACAAGATCATGTTGTAAAGAAAGGCATGGGTCTACTGTTGTGTATATTATATGTTGCCATTATTATACTGTCTGATAAGGGTACATGCTTTCCACAAATGTTGGCTAGACAGACAAACATATTCTTACTGGAAATCTCTCTTATATGTTTCAAAATGAGTCAGCCAAGTGTCAGGTCTTAGAAGGTCTTAGACTTGACTTAATGAAGAGTCCGTTCATCCTCGTATCTCATGGCACACCTCTTTTTTTCCTGGTATTTTCCACTCCAGCTTAGCTTGTAGTTCATTTATTCCTGGCTAATAAACTAGCTTGTATTACAATGGACGTGGCGTTTTCATGTCACTATAAATGTCACTACTCACGTACCCTTCTCTTTTATGAACCCAACCTTTAGAGCTCAGCTAGTACAGGAGAGTCTCATTTATAAAAGGAAAAGTCATGGTTTTGGCTGCAGTAACCTAACAGATGCCACTTGTGTCTGGTGCAGAACAAATAACTATGGTTACCATCCGAATGATTCCCATGGGTAGTACCACTATTATTAATTAAAACAATAGTAATAATAACTACTATTTGATTGTCTTTTGTATTATCTGTACTCCAAGTCCACATTCATATTTGTTTGACTTTTCCATTTTTTAATTCTTTTTGTTAAGCTGTTCTCCATCGAAGATTTTACATGTCAATGTAATCTACCAATGTAGACTACTCCAATTATTTATGTCCTTTACTATTATATGACTAGAGACGGGAATAACTGTGTATCTGTATGTCTTGACCTCTGTTGGTTTTGAAAATATTAAGGCTACCTGTAACTACTGAGCAGCAAGCACCCCAAACAGCAAGCACCCCAAATTGCACATCATTCCTGCAGCATTGTATATACAACCCTCACTACCAGAGCCCTTATGGTCTTGTACACAAATACACTTTCTAAAGGTAAGTATTTGTATAAATATCCCTCCACCCCTGACTTGGAAATTGTTAGGCCATTCGGGGAACAAAAACTTGGAGGATGGGGAGGAGGTGTCCTATTCTCCACGTAGCATGAAGTGGAGAGTTTTCAGGGGAACCCTTGTGGCACTCTGGTGATCTATATGTCCATATGAAGGTATGGTTTTGCACCCTGTGTTGCCTTTTGTATAGCAGTAGCTTCACTTTGCATGTATTACCAGAGCACAGGATTATATTAACTCATTTTAATTTCCATGCTTTAATATGTCATGAAGCAAAAAAAAAAAGAAAATAGAAAATTAAGGAAAACCACAACCACACCCCTTTAACAGAAATAAAAATTGGTGAATAGGTTAGCAGTGATTGTTATAGAAACCAAACAGGCTTTCTAAATGTGACTGTAATGTATTGATATATTTAGCAAATATATCAATATATTTATTTTGAGGGGAATTTACTGGATAAGACAGACTCTGCATAGTAACCAATCAGCTTCCAGCTTACATTTTCACAGCTTAACTGAACAAGCTGAAGATAGAGGCTGATTGGTTACTGTGCACAGCTACTTCTGATTCCGTCTACTCCCGTTTTAGCACCCCCCATTATGTGAGGTTGCTATTGATTGGTGTACTTTATCACTGCTCTTTTTACCTCCTTACTTGAGATGAGGCTGGGCTTGGTGTGAACCTAGTTAACCCCCTCCTCCTGGTCCAATCATAAGGGCTCTGGCGGATTCCCCTCCCAGCAGCTATACATCGCAAAGGCACAGGGAATGCCCCCACCAAAATTGCTGCCACTGAGGGCCAGGGGGGGAGGCCGGTCACAGTTATGAGTGCCTTGGACAAACTCAAATGGACTGGGTCTGCACCAGCCAGGGGTCCTCTCTACTCCTTACTCAATAAGGCCATGAATTTATGGGATCTCTGTGCATGTTATCAGCACTTGTGGAAGAAGTCAGAACATAAAAAATAGCTAAGCAGGCCTGAAAGAGTAATAGTTTTTCTACATGGTGATGGCAGTGATGTAGTAGAGGTGGAGGACCTTAGTATTTGAGTGTCAGATCCTGGATTGCATATTGGTTTCTCTTCCACGGCAGGAGCAGGAGGTAAACTATTAGTGTGTTATATGTAGCGGTCTCAGCAGCTTCTCATTGTAAAACACCATCCTGATTCTGCAGTAAACTGCAACAAAGGAGATAATTAGCGATCTCAGGAAAAAGGTAATGCTGTGTCCTTGAAACCTTTTGCACTCTGTATCTATGATGGTTTAGGCCGTAAAAATAGTGAATTTAAACAGCTGGTAACAGTATCGCTGGAGGGGCTGTATACTGGTAATTATCAGCCTAAGGCTGTGGAACATGACTGTTGACTGGCGGTGACCTTTAAATTCTTGGTTGTTCTATGACTCACCGGATCATGGCCTATTTACTCATCACAAACTTCCAGTAAATATTAAGATTCAGCGTTTGTTTTTTTTCCTTCCCCTAGATGATAATTAACACCGCAATACAGCTGATTTGATGCAACAATGTTTGGTTAACTTTGCTCTCTTAAGTCCCTTTTTTAAAGAAGCCCTTAAATCAAAGTTGTCATCATTTAATGTGTACCAGTAATATTTGTATTACATATCTGTCCTGTTTATAGTAGTAAACTGAAGTTGGAGAGCCCAGAAAAAGTTTACTTTAAAACCCCAGGGTTTAAGTGATGCCATGTATTGGTGAACAAAGTGGATTTAGTATATATGGAATAATGTGCCGAGCTGAAAAAACCATCAAAGATAACCAGTGAAATATACAACAATGATTATAGGCTGAACTCAAACCACATAACATACACAGTGAAATAAAGTCAAAACGAATCAAACGATACGGTGCAGATAACGAATCAAACAATGCAATGTGTACAAACAACATGAGCAGTCCTCCGAAGCAGAGTTAATAGTGTGCAGGACAACAGACTGTTTGATAGTCCTTCACCTCCACCAAGTGAATGCATAAATTACAAAGGAGTGCTCATCTAGGTCTGTGTACCCACAGAGTAGGTCTCAAGCGCGTTTTCCCTTCTTAAGAGGGGGAGGGATGCTTAAAATCTGGGATAATATAAAATATTGCAGTGAACTGCAATCATCTTGTGCACCGTTACTTCCTATTATAGGTAACCCCTAATACTTGGTGGACATGTCCGAAACTAGATAGGTTCTGGCTGAATATTTCAGATGATTAACGTTCTTTTTCTGACTAATATAGTAAGAGATCCATGGGTAGCTTTACTACACTATAAACCCCCACTCCTGTCTAACTCACAACATAAACTGGGGACCTATGTCTTGTTTGCGGCGAAAGACCATTGCCCAAGCATGGAGGAAACCACATGTGTTTTTTGGGGAAGTTAAAAAGAGGATGGACTAATTTTTTCTTAACGAAAAACTGACTAGCATCCTGTTGGATTACAATAAAAAGTTTATGAAGACTTGGGAACCCTGGATTAAGTACGCTCATCCAACACTCTCAGCAGAAAGTTTCATGCTTGTGTAGAAATGATTTTGGTGTCTTATCCCTCCTTTTGTTAGCTTTGGGGTTTGTTTGGGTTTTTTTTTGTTTTTTTTAAAGTTTTGTGGTTATACTGTATTGTGTTGTTAAAAGGTGGTTGGTGGGGAGGGTCAGCAGGGTGATACAGATTAGGTCTATCCTTGCAGACTATAGATGTCAATGTATGTTTTGTATATGGATGTTTATAAAACAAATAACATCTTTGAAATAGAAGAGTATATGTACTCACAGACAAATGTTTTCATCATGATCCTGATGAAGGGGGGGCGTGCCCCTGAAACGTGTCAATACTAGCTGATTGCGGCCCGGTGGACATTGATGTGACCGGAGGCAGCTGTGGTACATAGTCAGGGCGGAATTATCCTGGGTTAACAGACAGTGTGGTCCTCAGCTTTTTGACAAAGCATGATAAAAACATTTGTTTGTGAGTACATATACCCTTTTTTATCCATTCAATAAAAGATTTTGCACAGGTAGGTGGTGATCTGTTCCCTTTTGTATTATATAGCAGGAATCCATTCCTTCCCCACTGTATCCAAAAGGGTGTTGTCAAAAAAAATTGTTGGCTGGACTTTAAATGTAAAAAATAATGTTGTATCTGTTTGGTGAATGGTAGATCCTCATAATGAACATGATAAACATCCCATAATATGCTGTTAGTTTTACTATGCAACAGTGTTGACATTTGGGAAGCTTTGGTGACCATGACACACAGCATATCCCACTGACTCTTGTGTAACGGAAACATTCTCCTTCTGTTCTAGAGATCTTGGAAGTACCAGGGGCCTGTGCTTCCTCTCCATGTCAGAACAATGGCAAATGTCTGGAATCTGAGGGGGCATACCTGTGTGAATGTCCTGCTGGATACACTGGGGTCAACTGTGAGAACCGTGAGTATCAACCACATAATCATCTTTTCCAGGCTGTCCATGGACCAGCTGGAAGAAATAATTTGTTTTTATAGCAATCTTGTTAAAGAGTAATTCCACTTTTGATAAAAAAAAAAAAAATCCTCTCTGAGTGATCAATGTACATTGCAGGGATTTTAACTAACTTTGTTGCACTTTCCTACCTGTTTCTGTTCTGAAGAAATGGCCGTTTGTTTCACCGTGTCCCTTCCAGGCTGATTCCTATAATGGGAGGGTCAACATTCATTATAGCCAGCTGGTGGGCTTCCTGTGTTGTAATAGGGAAAGGTGCAGTGTCTGCATCCCTTTACTTGTAATTAACCCTTAGGGAGTATCTCAGCAAAAATGATATTCCTATTGCAAGGGATGCCTAAAGTTATACTTGTATCTTAGTGCAGACTTTTGGGAAAATCAGTCAGCCAATCACAGAAGCAGGAAGTGACATTTCTTGGGGTGAAATGCCACTGTGTACAGAATGCCTCCAGGTCACCATATTGTATTGAATTTTTTTGACAGATTGACAACATTACAGTGGCTACAGTTTTAAATGGAAAGCTATTTTTTTATAACAATAAATTACAAAAAGACTTGTGGAACAATTATATATATATTGTATTAATTTAGGGTTAACTGCTCGCCTTTGTTTAAGTGCTAAAAGTAAAAGTTATACTCACCTGAATCATGGAGCTGGCTTGTTCATAGAACATTCCTTCCAGCGTCTCTCTCCCTCCACTGCAGCGATCTAAGGTCCATAAATCATCACATTTAATACACTGTGTATAGACACAAGGACGATGAGAAACATTACAATGCTGCAGCATAGGAGGAATCAGACTTCAGAAAATGAAGAAGCAGGGAGCAGGCTTTATTTTATTTTTATTTTTAGCACCTAGACAAAAACGAGCAGTTAACCCTTGCAGCGTGGGGGTAGCCCCACTGCAAGAGTTAATAAAAGTATTGTCTGGATTTTCAATTTTTAAAGTGGGGTTACCCTTTGATCTTGTTTGGAGGAGACGTGCTCTAAACATGTCATCCTTATGCTTCGTTCACTAAATGGTGAGCAGGTGTCCTGACACTTGACTGGCTTCATTCTTGTTCTGGTCTAGCGGCTCACATGGTAGTAAAGGAGTGATAAGCCTGACAACCCTGGAACCTGCACCTTCAAAAATAATAAACTTCCTTATTTCTATCTCAATCAGTTTCCACTTTTCCTCTTGTCATTATTTGGAGCTCCGCTTCCTTAAGATTATCATTGAATAGCTCCGTTGAGAAAGATTATAGTAGGTTTATTGTCATAAGGATGGTTAAGTTGCAACTGCCTCTGTGTGCAATTACAGCAATCAGCAATCATATGAAAATATTCTGATCTATTCTTAAGGTGCCCATACACCTTGCGATTATCAGATGATAATCGCGGGAAATCACGCGATCGTACGATAATCGGCAGGTGTATGGAAGGCGTGCGACTGTTTCTACTGTACGGTCACACGTCTTTTGTCTAACGAGCATGTTTCAAAACCCGCCCAGAATCGTGCAATTGTCGGCATGCTCCTAAGACAAATGCCGAACGTGTCGGTGTGCGCAAGCGCACACAGCCCGTTCAGCATTGCAGTCATCGGAAGCCCGACCCTTAGGGCTCAGTCACACTAGATGCAGTGCGTTCCGGCCCGCTTTTGTCCAGAACGCACTGCCTCGCATTGCGGCCGGCTCACTTTTTGTTGGGGTTGGAGGGGGGGTGGCGGGCAATTCAAGGGAATGGCGCCGTAGCCACGCCCTTCGGCCGCAATGCGATCCGCCGCATGAGATCGCAAGGTACATTGTGCCTACGGTCCGATCCTGTGCGTTGCGATCAAAATAGTGCTTGTAGCATTTTGATCACACCGCACAGGATCGGACCGCAGGCACAGTGTGCTTGAATGGCCTGCCACGCCCCCTCCTACCCCACTAAAAAGTGAGCCCGCCGCAATGCAAGGCAGTGTGTGCCAAAATCGGGCCGGAACGCACTGCATCTAGTGTGACTGAGCCCTTAGCGGGGCGGGCTTTCGATGATCGCAAGTACGATCTGCCTGTCCAAGAGCTTTTAATTAGCTTACAACCATCACAAGACAAAAGTCTTGCGATGGTTGTAAGGTTTATGGGCACCTTTATAATGATCTAGCCACAGGTCTGCCTCCATTAAAAATCGTTGCACCGTGTGCAGTACAGCGCTAAACTCCTGTATATGCATGGAGTTTGTTACATGCAATCGATACTGAAAGGTCATGTGGCTTCCACCTAAATGTTGGCTTCAAACATGTGATTGTAGTAGCAGCATTATATACATCATAGATTAGTACAATAAAAATACAGGTAATAAATAAATTAATATTAATTGGGTAAGACAGGTTTTCACAAGCAACATTGCTAGAAATCTTCTTCCTAAGGAAGGTTACTGTAGATCTGCTCCCATAAGTTTATAGTACACCTGTTGACAATGCTGTCTTTGCAGTACCTGTCATGTTCAGGCCATCAGTATTGGGTGTTGCCAGCTTGAAAACCTATTATTCTCCTATTTCTATTACTGAAAGAAATAGTTCCTGGATTGTGGGGTGCATAGGTACTCATAGTATACTGTGTACAGAGAGTATTGGGAGTCCGCTATATTACTTCTGTCCAACCAACTTCTGATGCTTGGCTAAGTTAAGTTTCCTCAAGGAGTGTTACCACAGACCTGCTTCACAGACGTTGTTTTTCTATGCATTGGTGATATTTCTGTGGATATCTTAATAAATATGGAATATCTGTTGGTTGATACTTTACCCATTATCCACTTTGCTATCATTGCATTGTCATTCTTTGGAAATATGCCATTAGAGTTCATGAGATTTCTATGGTAGAATAGTTTCCTGTTAATTATCCTCTTCCGGAATTCTGCATGTCACTGCCAGCAAGAGGATGAGCGTTTCATAAAGATGAAGAGTTGAATGAATGGGTATTAAATGTCCTGGCATCCAGCAAGTTGATCCTGACTGGATTTTACTATGGGGTGAATGAGAAGAGTGGGAATAGACATAGTCAGGGATTTAGAGTTATTATCTGAGATAATAATCATCTCTGTCAGATCCGAAAAATTTTAGCAGTGTTCAGAGATTTTATTATTTTCAGTATCTATTGTCTGCCACAATGTCTGAAATCATTGCCATACTGTAATAGCTAAACATGCGCCTGCCATTGTAAGTCTGTGGTGACTCTCTAGTGATCTGCCCTCTCTCGTGAGTTTGCCCCAGATGTGTCCGATGGCTGTGCCTGCAGGAATGGGGGCCGCTGTGCAGACGGGAACAGCACCTGTCACTGCCTACCAGGATTCTTTGGGCTGCTCTGTGAATATGGTAAGTTAGAAATCTATGCCTAGTATTGCCACATCAGATGTACATGTGAAAATGACTTGACAAATGTCATCTCAACATAAAATGATTTATAAAGTACTATGGATACACCACCAAATTCAACAAAAAAAAACTTGTGAAAGTGGTAAAATGTCAAATAAAATTGTATAGTTTCACAGATATGACTTCTGATGAAAGAAGCCATTCTCTGGCATATCCAGGTTCCAAGAAAGTGAAGTTGCATTTATTCAGTTTTAGCGTAACTAAGTTCACTGATCTGGAATCTGCATTAGGTCTGCATTGGCAGCTTTCCCCAATTTCCACCATCGAAGACTTTGTTAATATGCAGATCACATAGATGAGGAGGTGCCCATACACACTTGATGTCTTGTCATGTGGTACCTGGGAATTTAACATATTAATCTGATAAATGGGCACTGTATATGTCATTGAAAGATGTTGAAAAATTATTTCAGGATACCAAAGTTGAAAGAAAGTCAACAAATTTGGATGGAAATGGTCAACCAGTTCCCTGCCTTGTTCCTCAGTAGATTAGAGAGCTGGAGAAGGAATAAAACCATGTGGGCCGCGATTTATGGATAGTAACAAAGTCTGAGAAAGGGCACCTGGTCAGCCCTTGTTTAGCTATGTTACATATATCCTTCTTATAAAACATGTAAATCTAAAGCCAAAAACTAAAGGTTAAGGGAAGAACTATATATCTCTTAATAAATAAATAAATACAATACAGTTATCACTTTTTAATATTATATAGGTATTCATACAACAGCTTAGATTATGTTATTATAGATTTTTTAGGGATTAGCGCAAAGTATATATAATATCTTGCTATGTATAGAGTAAATGTTATGTAAAAGAAGATTGATAAAGTGAAACTCGAATAATTAGAATATCGTGCAAAGTTCATTTATATCACTAATGCAACTTAAAAGATGAAACTAATATATGAGATAGACTCATTACATGCAAAGCAAGATAATTCAAGCCGTGATTTGTCATAATTGTGATGATTATGGCTTACAGCTCATGAAAACCCCAGGAACCCTAAATCCACAACCTCAAAAAAGTAGATTATTACATGCAATCAATAAAACAAGGATTGTACATAGAACAATATCGGACCTCTGAAAAGTACAAGCATGCATATGTACTCAGTACTAGGTTTGGGCCCCTTTTGCAGCACTTACTGCAATTACTTTTGCACGATATTCTAATTATTCGAGTTTCACCTGTATGTTTCACATGTTTGAAATGTTTTTGTCTACATGGATTGGTTCCTAACAAGTGACCATCTTTTTTCATTTATATGGTATATATATATATATATATATTAAGCTGGCTATAGACATTAGAGAACGGTTGAACATTCAGGCATTACTTGGCTACTGCAAGATATTTCTTAGAGACTGAAGCATAATCATGCACATTCAGATCACTGGACTGGAGAGATCTTTGTTTATGTCTATGTCTATGAAAGCAGGAAAAGTGATAGGCCAAGACACTTCCTGTCATGGCTTCTCTTCACTACAACAGCCATTCACTACAACAGTAGTGAATGACTGAAATTATCCAGAACAGTCAATCACTATTTTTCCCAAGGCTATTCAGCCACCAGTGTCTGGTGTACTCTGCTGCCTAAAAGGTCAACTGAAGCCAACACTTTTCTTTTTAGTTTTGGATAGATTGGAACTCCTGTCAGGTTTTATTGTTGTCTGTGTCCCCTTAAAGGAGATTTACCCTTCTTTTCTGTCCTGGTGACCGTTATCAGTGAAACTGAAGAAAATCCCAAATTTTGGGCTGTCACCAGAACACGGATAGATGGGAAATCTTCCAGTGGGAACACTGTAGTGACCCTGCTGACCACTATGAATTTTCCTCTGTTTGGAGGGATTTACTCTCACTTCCTGTTGTGGCTATCCAAAAGCAAGAGAATGGAAATCTCCCCAATATGACACAGATGACCAATAAAAGCCGACAGGGGTTTAACCCTCCCTTACAAACAGTTTTGGCTTCAGGATAATTGAGGCTACAGAAATATAAAAGCTTTCTTCCTCCTCACTGTTGTATATATTTCAGAGGTGACGTCACTTCCCTGCAGCATGGGCTCCCAGTGTCCTGATGGTGGATCATGCATGGAGTATGGAGGCAGTTACCGGTGCGTGTGTCACACAGATTATATCATCAGTAACCACTGTAAGTGTGCTTGTGTGTGGGGCATCATGTTTTATTATTTTTTTACATATTTAAAGTTTATTGAAGGTGAAGAACTCTAACAAGGCGACAATACAGCATCGAAGGAACCACAAAATTGCAACTAAATCTCCCCCAATAAGTATAACATAAAGAAAGCATCAGATCAGGTAGAGCAACAGAAAGATGCCCCGTGACATAACCTGTAAAACATCTGCCATATCACAGTAGCATAGCTCATAGAAGTCTTAAATTGTTTTAGAGAAGATCAGTTGGTAAGGATCAGAAACGAGAGTAAAGGATAGAAACAGATAGGCAAGGACAAAAGAGAGCAGTCGGGAAGTAAAGAGAGACAGAAACAGACCCGTGGGTGCGTAACAAGGCAAGCCCAGTAGCAGTATTCACAAGGGTGCCCTTACTGTTCAACTGAACCGGCATCTGTCATCAAGAGAAATGCTAAATCATCCAAACCCTCAATCAAAACCCATATGCTCCAAGTTTCAAAATGGGTCTCAGTCCTGTCATGGATTTGCGCCGTCATATGTTCCATCCGCATAATACAAGCCATTCTGCAGCTCATTCAGCACTGGTAGGATAGGCCAACAATTTCCAATGACGAGGTAAAATCGTTCTGGCCACTAGCAGAAAAAATACCCAAATAAACCTTTCTTACAGCGAGAAATAGAGCCTGGTAATATAAAGAGGAGCGCAATCCGAGGAGTTTCTGGTACTAAACTTGAGATCACTAGTTGGAATATATGAAAAATTTCTACCCAAAAGGTTTTCATTGGGAAACAATAGCACCAAATATGTCCTAATGTGGCCATCTTCCCGCCACATCTCCAGCAGATATCTGGAATCTAGGGTATCATTTTGTGGAGAATATATGTGCTATACCATCTACTCAGGTACTTAAAGTATAACTTTTCTCTGGAGCAGATGTCGCAGAAGTGAGCTTATCTTTGAGAGTAAATGATTTAAGTACCTCGGCATCCATTAAAGAATAACTGTGAACCCTTTCTCATTCTGCAATAAAGTAAGGCTGATAGGAATACACACCTGGTAAGAGTAGAGTTAGTAGTAGGGTGAAGAACCTATATTAAATGTGATGAAATTCTAAAACTGTAATATGCATCCAATGATGGATCACCACTACAGTAAATTGGCCAAACCTCCCACCATTATGGTCTTACCTTCCCTTGTAGATAGGAGAACCATGTGATGATATTTATCCAGTACCAGTGCACTACACTCTACTGGGACAGAAACTACTTTTGGTTTTGGAGACAAGCCAAGAACTATCTAATTCCACCCTAAAGGGATTTCTGCAATTACGGATGTCTTAATTGCATACAAGCTTTTCAGCCACATAGACTCTTCAGGTATAACAAAATGCATACAGTTAGAAAGTAAATACATATAATTTGATCCTTGTCTGTGTAAAGAAGATTCTGTAGTTTAATTCATGGACAGTCTGTACATTCAAAGCTACAACAGTTGTATACCTTTAAAATCAGATTGTCAACCTTTTGTGATTTTGGTTAAAATCGTACTCTGTATGTCTATATGTATTATTATTATTCAGGATTTATGTAGAGCAAACAGTTTGTGCAGCACTTTACAAAATATGGGGAGGCAGTAAAGTTATAATTCCATACAAGAGGGTTAGGTGGGCCCTATTCGTGAGAGCTTAAATATATTGTATGCATTTTATGATGCCTGACAGGTTTTTTGGCACAAAAGCTTCCTTTCAATTAAAAAAAAGTTCACTAGCTGCAGAAATCTGCTTTCAATGGATCATTCCTCCATACAACAGGACAGTTAGATTTTCCAAAACTGGCTATTGGTACCTAATGCATCACATCATCAACAAAAGATTGGTACACCACCCCAATATTTCCACAGGTACCAGATCTAACTATTCTTTGGAAGTCATCACAGCTGTCCTTATTTATTACCTTTTTTCATCTCTTTTACAACATATTTTTTAATGTGATTGGGTGTTTCTGATATTTCAATCATTTTGGTCATTGACTGCCATTGTCCACTCCAGCTTGGCCATCTCCCTGTGACTCTGACCCCTGCTTGAATGGTGGGAGATGTGAATCTCATGAAGATACATATTCCTGTGTGTGTCTACGAGGCTTCTATGGGAGAACATGTGAAAAGGGTGAGTTACTTGCCTGTTTATGTGGCTTGGAACTGGTATAGAATATACATTTGTACTACGAAAGGCACAAACATGTCTAGAAAGTAGACGTAACAGCTGACTGCTGATTGTTTTTCACTCAGAAGGAAGAACATGCACAGCACTGATTGGAAATGGATTTTAACATATTAAAATGTATTAAAACCCATTTTTATAAAATGTTGAATAGAGTTAGGAGGGGTTAGACTCCCCTTCAGGTTTTTAATGCTATTATTCAACATCTTGTCCCACACTGTCGCCCATGGTCAGTATAGATGTGTGCACGGCCAATGGTAGAACTGTATCAATCCAGATGAAAGAAATAGCTAGCACTCCTTAAACACTATAGATGGGGACAACTGTCTAAGAGGGGATTTCCTTTACTTTGGAGAGATTCCTCTCTTGTGTCTGCAAGACAAGAAGTGAAGGAATTTTTTCCCAATGGAAGGATACAGGCAGAAAAAAAAACATAACAGGGGCATAACCCATTGCTACTCTATTCAAAATTTAAAAAGTTTTAGTTATACTTTAAAAATACAGGTCTCAAAATTCTTGTCAGTGTCAATGTTGTTTCATTTTATATATTGAAAATTAATTATATTTTGTGCATATAATATGTAACGGCTTAAAATGATGTATATTACAAATATGTACACCTTCTCAGAAAAATCCCATAACAGGAACCCTTAGCATTAATGATGATCCTGGAATTGGTGTGAACCCAGTTCACCTGAATTTGCCGATGCCCTCTCAAAACTGGGACTGAAAGCCCTTCTGGCCCAATCGGTGGCAGCAGTTGTGGCGGGGACATTCCCCACTCCTAGCAACTGATTGGGTCGGGAGGAGGGAGTGGCGGTCACAGTTTTGAGCGGGCTTGGAGGAACTTAGGCAAACTGGTTTCACACCAAGCCCGGGGTGTCTCTACTGTGTCTCTCAGCTACCTTTGGTTTGGCTCCTAGCAGCCCCTCAGATGCTCTCTCCCTCTTTATTGGAATACTTGTTGCATAATAAACGGCATAAAGCAAAACAAACATTTCATGACTGATAGAAGATTATTACCAGTTTAACATTATCAGACAAAATGTGTGAGTTATATTTTTTGTGATTTACAAACTAATAAAGTGTGGAGGCTTCTAGCCTAAGGTATTATTTTCTAGGTAGTAGAAGGATGTATGGAATGAAAGTCATAGTAATATCTTTTGCATGTAAATGGTCTAGAGGGCTTTCTGGGTATATTTATCCCACCCTCAATTCCCATGGTTCATAGTACCACGGGATGAAATGCAATGTGTCACACTTTCTCTCATTTATTTCCTGCAAATCTTCTTCTTCCTCCTTCAGTAAAGCCGGCTCTGTGCAGTCTGTTTCCTTGCCGGAATGGAGGAACATGTAAGGAAGTCAATGAGGAATATTATTGTATTTGTCCTTATCCATTCACTGGGAAACACTGTGAAACAGGTGAGCAAAAGATGTTCCAGAGGCGCATTCCAGTACCAGTGTTTGATTTCCTCTTACCTTTTGCCTTCTTATATATTTTAGCTAACAGATCTGCTTCCTGTCTTTTTTAATTCAGGCATTAGGGGCCCCTGCTCATCAGGTCCTTGTCACAATGGCGGCACATGTTTTCATTATCTTGGCAAATACAAGTGTGATTGCCCACCCCACTTCTCCGGAAGGCACTGCGAGAAGGGTAAGTGGGAACCCCCCGGCATGGGATCTTTCTATCATTGCCACCCAAGGATGTAGATTTCAGATTCCGTACTGCTTTTGTAGTCACATAAAGTGTTTTGTCAAAGCAAGATAATATACGGGTTAATAGTGTTAATATTTACGGTACTACGGTATAGACAGGTCATGTTACGGAGAACAAGAGAAAAAAATTTGTCCAAAACATTTTGTAAGGTTCTATTTACTGTATATATGTATTTAGTTTTCATATTACAATAGTTCATATTTCTAATGGCATTAAGTTTCCATGCCAGTCAAAGTATGTAAAGATGGCCATACATGGAGCAAATTTTGGACGGTTCTTGGTGAACCAGATGAAATTCGCTCAGTGGGTGATGCTGTTGGTAGCCTCCCACCCAACATCTGAAAATAAAGGAGCCAGGCAGAAAATTCTCCAAACCCGAACTGTAGCCAATCAGTTGCAGTCACTGTATGGGTATTCTGACATGGGCAAACCCACCACTGTCAGAATACAAAGCCACAGCAAGAGATTCATCCATCCATACTGTACAGCGTGGATGGAGGAATCTGTTCGATTTTTTTTCATTCCGCTGCAAGGGCTTCATATCAATAGTTATGATAATGCTGTGCAGGAGAGCCAGGGAAAGATGAATCACTGGAGCAAAAGTGTACATGGAGAACGTCCTGTACTATCCCTATTATTTCTGTTTTAATGAGCTTTATTATTGGACCAAACGTCATTTTGAGAGCAAGGCTCTTCTCTCCCTTTTTTAATTGAATGTTTTATACAGAAACCTCTTCCCCCTCCCAAAAAAAAAAAATACCAAACAGCAGTTCTAGGCCCACTTACTCCCATCCGCACTGTGCTACTGAGGATAGGGAGGAAGGGAAATGGCCCCGCCATTCAAAATAACTCTGCCTTAAAGCTGTCAAGGTCTTCTAGGGTCATTTCACTGATCAGCATTACTGACTGTATTTCTTATTTTATGACATGCTTATTTTCTCATTCAATTCGCAAACATACATTTCACATATGTTTGCCTTTTTTGTTTTAAAACCCACTGAAAAGCCAATTTTTAGCTCACAATGGGACATATTTATAAAGCAGTGAATCTTACATTCAAAAAGCATTCACTGCAGGTGAACCTTTCTGGTGGATGTTTTTCACACATTCATGCGTCCGACTAGTATGCATGGGGGCCTAAAACACTTACTGTGAGTTTACATTAGAGGGCTAGCAGCCTGCTAAGATTCTGCTGCAATACAAAGTAATAGGAAAGGATCTCAGAATTCAGTGCCTCTGTTGTGAAATTCGAAGATGAATTTCTCCACAACCCCTATAGGCAGTGGCGTAACAACCGGGGGTGCGGGGGGGGTCACTTGCCCCGGGCGCAGGACTGAGGGGGGGCATAGGTACAGAGGAGAATGAGGGCTGATTTGTAATAAAGTGCTTTTACTGCTTGTTCAGAATGTGTGGGCACGGGGGAACTTCACGGGGGAATCATGTGTGATTAACACTCCTTATATTCAAGATAATTCTGACACAATTGCATTATGACTGATTTATAGCAGAGTTGGACTGTGGACCTCCAGAACATGTGAAATATGCCCATGTGGTGGTGACTTCAACATGGCCAGGTGGTAGAGCTGAATATCATTGTAATGATGGCTACATAATGAGCCCCGCTAACAACACTCGTGTTTGCAGTGAGAATGGAATGTGGAGCGAGGCACCGCAGTGCGAGGGTAGGAGTTTATCCATGTTGGGGGGCTGGGGGAGACTGAACAAAGCACACACGGCACTGTGTTATAACTTGTTCCTCTTTCTTGTGATTTAGAAATTGATGAATGTGAATCACAGCCCTGCCAAAATGGCGCTGTATGCAAGGATCGCATTTCCCATTTTTTGTGTGAATGCCAGGATGGATATATTGGGAAACACTGTGAAATAGGTAATCTAGGAATTAAATGATATTGTTTGTGAGCTATACATTATAATTCATTTCAGAGTGTGTTTATGTTATAATGTGAATTTGAATCAGTTATTGTCAGCTGTCATCCGAAAATGAAAACATGGCACTGGGGGTCATATATTACTGAAAATGCAAATTACATGGGTATTACCCACATTCCAGATCTCTTATTTCTGGTACTGGTGAAAACATAAGTCTCAAAACATAGAGGGCACTATGAGCAACACAGACACTTTCCTTCCAGTTTTATACCCCTTAGAGGACACTTTGTGGTATCCCTCCTCTTGTGATAACTGAACATATGGAACATTAGCATAGATGTAGCGCTCACCCCCGAAGGAGCCGCTGAATGTTGAAATAGGTTCTCCTACCTGTTGGTTCCAGCTGCCAGTCCCCTTTGATCAGCAACAGCACACCGACACTCACGGACAGAACGGCTCGAGTCTTAGGGTCTTTTTAGGGTATTTATTTGCAACATCAATAGGAGAGAGAGGGTTTAGGGTCTGTAGGATGCCATAGGAAATACTTCGGAGGACAGCTTTCTCCCCTAGCAACCGCTTAGGCCGAAATCGCTGCGATCTGGTCCCAGGGACCAATAGTAGTAGTAGTAGTACTGTGAACAGATACCTGGAATAGGGTGTGGGATCTCCCTTGTGGGTCCCAGACGGACGCTCGCACCAGCTCCTCTGCGGTACCCCTCAACAAGCGGACTCCTCCCCGACCCAGCTTCCATCAGGTATTTTCCTCTTTAGGATCTGGAACTTCTGTGCCCTCAGCATCTGCAACTGCCAAGGAGCACTCCAGTTAAATGAGAGTATCTTCTTAGAACAAGGCACCCAACACCTGCCACGTGTATGGGCCCAGCGAAGTATCAGTGTATCCTTAGGCCTCCAGGCCCCTCAGCACCTGCCATGTGCTGAGGCCCAGGCCATTTGCTCTGCATCACACACAGTCCTCCTAGGGCGAGGCCCCTAGGGGAAGAGAGAGCTCTCCACAATGTCCCCAGACCTTTTATCACCTGCCCTCAACCATGCCTCTGAGTCATCCTACTCAGGGATTGGCTAGGGCCAGGTGCATAGTCATAACCTGAGGGTGGATCCTCCCTCACTGTATGCCAAGGCTCCCTTTTCCTCAGCAACAGGAGGAGCAATCAATCCAGCAGACTCAGGGACACCTATAGAATGCAGAGCTCTGTATAATCAGTATCTAGACTGGTTACAGTCCAGGTATCTCTAAATTGAATAGCGACATTTTAGAGGGCGCTACATAGATTTTGGGTTTGATGGCAGTATTCATTGTCCTTCTAATGAAAGGTGATCCACGTGCAATGAATACATGATCCATATGCAAATACGTAGGCAAGGTTGGTGTTGTCTTGCATAGACTGAGACTTTGATATTGGTTTAAATGAAGTAGATGTTCTTGTACTGGTAATGTCACAAGGAAGGTGGGTATGTGACCAGTATACACTGGAGCGTCAGCCTACTATGGTCTGTATACACAAAGAAAGTGTATTTGAAGATGGTCCTTTACCACCTGAGCACAGTTACTTGATGTATCTTGGACACCTTTAGGCTGCATTCACATTTTTGCATCAATGACACGTTGACGCATCAAAAAACAGACCTGGAATTTTTCAGCCAATGCACGTCATACAGATATAAACTAGCACCAATTAAAACAATGAGTTACCTTTGTATATACAATGAAATTAATTAGAACACATGAATATGAATAGGCCCTTACAGTTTTCTGTGTGTTAAGACTAGGTCGCACGATGGTGGTTTGCTCTGTGACCTTGCAGCAATTGAGGTCTTGGGTTTAGTGAGTGGAGTTTATATAATTTCATTGTGTTTGTGCTGGGTATCCTTTCCATGTTTCAGTTTTCTCTCACAACACAAATAAAACACCAAATTATTCAACGTTAACCAAACTTGGCCCTATAGCGTTTGGGTATACGCTTAATATATTAGACTATCAGCTCCTCTGGGGCAGGGATCGTATCTCTGGTTCTGTGTTTACTATAAGGTACTGCAGGCTGTGCTGCTGCTAATGACTCCCCTGGTAAATATCATGTTGTTGTACTGCAGAGATGAATGAATGTTTCTCTGAACCTTGTAAGAACGGAGGCAGCTGCCAGGATTTAGCTGGGGGATTCCTGTGTACGTGTCCCGAGGGCTACGTTGGCACACAATGTGAGACTGGTAAGGACGTCTTTGATATATTTTCCATATAACACATGGACAAGGGATGCTCTGGTGTCTAACTAGATATGGGTAGAATTTATGAAAGATCATGTCATAGTGTAGATTACACTCCTTATTCTTGGTTTTTCAGAGGTAGAGAATGTAATAGAAGAATCTTATCTGATGGCATTATCCTCACTCAGTATATAAAGTTAGAAAATGACATATTATTAAAAGTTGGTACAGAGCAAAATGTTCTATATTGTTTTGCTATTTTGTATCATTGTTTGGCATAATAAGCATGTGAAGGCAATGTCCTCAAATATTTTATGTATCTTCAAAAATGCTGAGCTGTAAAAAATGCTTATTTAAGAAAAGTTAGATCCTGTATATAGAAAATAACACATGTTCAGAGCTAGCTGTCCAAACACGGCACTAGATTTTTCTAACCACTATTTTGAAGCTTGATATTGGCTTATTTTGTTTCTTGTATGCTCAGAAAATAACAAATATTATGTTTTATGTTTGGATAAGTTCCGACACAAAATCATGTAAAAATGATATAGGAAAAAAAGTAAAGGAATTAAGATGCAGCTATCATTTTTAGATCAGGTATATACCCAAAGTACCAAAGTATGAGCACATTGAAAGGTCTATTTTCTTTATTTTAAGGCATTTCATTTTAAAGATATAGATGTTTCATTTTTTTTTTCTGGTTTCATCAGAGCTGGATGGCTGTGACTCTTCTCCATGCCAGAATGGGGGCATCTGTGAGAATCTGGCAGGCTCGTACCTGTGTGTGTGTCCAAGAGGATTCTTTGGCTATCACTGTGAGACAGGTGAGGGTGTCTGTGCTATTCATCTATAATATGTTCTAATGCACATTATCATTTCCTTCCATCTTGTATCTTTGAGTTTATGGTATGGTAACACTAAACAGAAAACATAAATACAAAACAAGTGAAAGAAGTAACAAGTGAAAAATAAGCAAATAATGCAAATTTGACACTGCATTTAGTCCAGATTCTAGTACATGGATACAAACCAAGCTAGAACCTTGAAGCGTCTGTATCACTAAGCACCTCAGGGTTTGGATTAAAAGTTGGTACACAATTAAAACACCAAATTAATCAACGTTAACCAAACTTGGCCCTATAGCGTTTTCTTTATGAATATATGCACAAACATTTTTTTTGTTTTTCTCTTTAATAATTAATGTTGAATGTTCTTCTTGTAATATCACATTATGGCCATTAGATGGAGCTGAGCAGCATGGAACATAAATAATTTCCTATGCTGCTTTGGCGCCATCATAATACAATATTGCAGAACATTCAAAATAAATTCCATTTGTAAATTAAAAAAACGAATAGACGTTTGTGCATATATTCGCACAGAGCGATCGTTCACAGATATTTACACGATGAACAGCCCTTGTGAGTTGTTTATAAGTTAACCTTGTAAACTGACCCTAACCCTTAATGTTCAACCTAACGCTTAACCCATAACCCTTAACACAGTCCTTGCAGAAAAAGCGACCAGTGCCAAGATCACGTGTTTTTTTTTCTGAAACAACCACCAATTCATGAAGCTGCTGCAAGCAGCTCCTCAACATTCCTTTCAGCATGTGGTTAAAATATTCTACAAATCAATTCTGTGCACTTGTCTATTACTGTTTTTATTACACCGCACTTTGCCATTGCAGTGTTCCATGTCAGACTTTTATCAACTGCAAAGAACTGTGAGCAAATTAGTATTAAAAAGGGTAAAGTGGAGCAAAGTAGAAAGCAGTTATTATTTTTTTCTATTCATTGTGAGCCTCCCTGATATATATTATGTTTATCAACTCCATATCAATGTATCATCATACCATAGTCAGAGTAACCTTGTGTTTTACAGTGAGTGATCTATGCCTCTTGAACCCATGTGGCAGCCGTGGCGTCTGTGTGTCTGGTACGGATGGCACTGTGAGCTGTACATGTCGGACTGGCTATACTGGGATCACTTGTGAAAGAGGTAATTTCCCAGGAGTTTGATTCTGCTCCTTATATTTGTGGTAGGCCTGGACTTAACAGCATATATGTTGGTGCAAAAAGAGCAAAACTCAGCTCTTATCTGACTACAGTAAACTGTAATGTGGATCTGGATGCTATAAATGTGTCCTATACTTCACAACTGCTCTGATATATTACTCAGAGAACTATCCATGCTTGTAAAGCAGATTAGTTTTTTTTAAATAATTGTATGTTTCAGTTCACTTAGTATGACAGTTACATATTGTATGCTGACTTTTCTATATTGAGTGGACTGGTGGTCCAGACACTGGTGCACCCCATTCCTATTGTCAATAACTGCTGATCTGAGATCCCATTCCATTTCTCACTAACTGGTGATCTAAGAACCCATTGAACCCATTCCTGTTGTTAATAACTGGTGATCTGAGAACCCCCATTTGTGGTGCAGGAAGGGAGTTTCAAGATGCACTATTTGCAGGATGCCTGAAGAAAATCCACCAATCAGATTCAAAGCTGCTTTGAAATTTTGATTGCAATAGGTGATACAGGAAGCAAAGGGAGGAAGTTAGGGTTGCTGAGAATGTTGGGCTGTGTATAGGAGAATTGATCATTGTACTCATTTGCTGTTTCCTCCTCTTACTATAGAGATGCTGCCTCCTCTCTCTCTGTCACTGGGTGCAGTAGGAGAGAACAGCGTGTGGGTATTTTGGACTCCACCAGAAGAAGTGCCCGGACACTTGCCGGATGGTTTTGCTGTGAGCTATACAGCACTAGATGGTTCCTCCCGAACTGACTTTGTAGAGAGAGGGAACACTGAACATGAGCTTCGAGGTCTCAGCCCCGGACGTCCTTACAACATCACCATTGTCACTGTGAAACGAAATCTGAGGCACAATGACATCAGCCGCCCGCTCACACTTACTGCCCGCACAAGTAAGACGGATTGTATTTAGCATGATAGTCAAGTGACACATGAACATTAAGGGGTTTATGTTGTAAATGTTCTAAGGGAACAAATACAAGTAATGGATGGGCCTGTGCAGAACTCCGGTAGTAGTGTGATAATGTGGTCTGTGTGCACATGCCATTCCAGTATCCAAGAATAGGGGTATTGTGACCTGTAATGATAAAAGAGTTTACGTGATGAGATATTTGTCATTTTTACATTTATAGAACAAATGAAAGGTTTCTGGTCCAAATTATTTTGTCCTGACCAAATTAGAAGAAAGTCATATATGTATTGGTACTCCTGTCCTAAAGCTGAACTTCAGGCAAACCACTAAATATACAGATAACATACGTACACTATATGAAAGCTGTTTTACCTGCCAAAGAATTCGTATTTTTGTCTATTAAGTCCGGAGCAGAATTGTATAAATCTTCGAAGTGCAGCGCTGTCTTGCTGGGAAAGGAATTGGCTGCTGTTTCATTTTTACTTACTGGTCCCCCCTTCCCATCCCCTGTGATACTGGGCAGTAAAAGGAGAAGCAACTGATGCGCTCATCTTTTGGTCACCCTGCTCTTTCAGCATGCTCCTTGCACTTCAGCACACCTGAGTGGCTCCCTGTGATGCTTCTTCCTCTCCCTCTCTGAGCTCTGCTATACAGTAGACTGCAAGAAGGTAATATTAGGTCATATTCACATCTTTACATTGCCTACATTTAAAAAATATAATAAATAAAAATATTCAGCACATTTAATGATGTCTTAATGGTTGCAGAGCTGTCTTTAATATCTGCCTGGAGTTCATAATTGTCCACCCGGCTCCTTTGACAAAAGTCGATTGTAAAATCGATTTTGTTGAACGAGGTGGTTTCGGCAGAGGCCACCCACAGCTCGAATTTTAGCCAAATTGCAGGAATGGGCCACAATTTGAATTGTCAGTGACCAGCTTAAATCTGTCACGAGAGAGGTTTGGGGGCCATCATTGCAGATCTCCTCTTGCAAATATTTGACTGGCTATTACGCTGATGTGCTGCCTTCAATACATTTAAAGACACACAGAACAAGTATACAGATCAGCAAAGGTAAGGTAAAGTCAGAAGTCTTTAGCCAGGCAACAAGCATTTTCAGGAGAGATGGCAAAATGGCATCCTCAATATTTCTTTAATGACAGGAGTCCATGAACTATTTCATTGCCCTCTATTTCACTTTACATAAAGTAATAGGGTGCTTTTGGGCGCAGAGCTGTATTATCAGGCTTCTTCATTAATGCTGTTTAAAGGGCTGTAATAATGTGCAGAGAAACCAATTCGATATTATTATAATGTTACACCAGAGACTGTTTCTGCACTTTGTATGATGTATTCTGCTTTAAGACCACACATTTAGATGGTTATAAATATTATTATTGACTCTATAGGGCCACCAACTGTGGACAGAGCTCGTATTAGTTCTGTGTCAGAATCATCTGTCGTGGTTGCCTGGTCACTGAACCCTCACCGACACATTCCTGTGGCTCATGTCCGACTGTCTCTGCAGCATCCTAATGACAGAACTCAGCAAGCTGAGCAGGAGCCCTCCATAGGAGAGTACACCTTCAGGTGAGTAGGGGCTCATGTACCGAGTCTGAACTTTCATGTGCTTTATTAAAAAGTGCATGTCATTACTAATGAAACATATCACATAGTGGCCATTTGTATCTGTTGCTTTTAGTGGGAGCTCACAGGTGTTAATGTTCCAATTGACTGGAGAGAAGAAGTGAAGTGTTTTTCGGGAGCTTTATTGCTGGTAGCTAAAGATAATTAGACTGAATTTTAAGGACATCGTATGTTATATCCGCAGAGATCTGGATCCTGGAGAGAAATACACCATTCTAATCAGCACATTAAGCAGCTCTGACCCTGGCAATCCTCCTTCGGAGTCCCTGCCTAGTGCTCCTTTAGTAGCTTGGACACGTAAGTGAACTAACCAAGTCCTTGTTATGTGAATAGATCTAGAGAAATGTTCTAGTAGATTCCACAAACTCTGTCACTAAACATATATATAACAGTGTTTTATCCGTTTTGTAGTGGAAATTGGCCATCCTGAGGGTAGCCAAATGTTATTTCCGTTCAGGAGGAACTGACAGTGATTTTTTTTCTGTTCTTTCATGCACCTTATTTGCTGTGTTAGGCAGACTATTCCATTGAATTGAATGCAATGCATGATAACATGCAGCATAATATAGTGAAGGGAATTTATGAAAACTAGAGCAGACAGAATCTGGAGCAGTTGCCTCTGGCAACCAATCAGCTTTTTTCTTCAGTTTGTTCAGTTAAGATTTAAAAATGGAAGACAGAAGCTGATTGGTTACCATCGGCAACTGCACCAGATTTTGTCTACTCCAGTTTTCATAAATTCCCTTCAGTGTGTATCCAGTGCATTGGGGTGTCATTCAATATAATTGTCAACTCAATGCACTAACATGTGCATGGTGCACTACTGTGCATTGTGGCATGGTGCACTGCTGTGTGTGGTATGATGCAAATTACCGCAGTCCATAGGTGTGAAGCCAGCCTTAAGCATTGACCTTAGACACAGGCATGTCTTAAAGGGCACATATGATCATTATCTCTAAGAGTCTTCCTTTTTACTTGCCAGGTCCACTTCCACCAAGTAACCTCTCAGCAGTACTTGTCACCACCAGCACTGTGCACCTGAACTGGGACACTCCTCCAGCTGACTCAGTGGATGGCTACACACTGAATGTCACGCACAATCATAGCACAAAGAGTCGTTATGTGCCAAATGGGAAGATGACATCATACACTGTGCGAGACCTGCAGCCTGGGCAGAGATACAGGGTGACAGTGACTGCACTACGCAATACTCCACAGGGCCCTGTGAATAGCGACCCCAGGACCCTGCGTATACAGACAGGTAAGTAAGGGAACTTCTTCAGTGATATTATCCATTGTGGAGTATTTATTCTGTGTTTTGAGGGGCATTTTGCATGTGCACTTTACTGCATTCACTATAAAAAGCATGAAAAATGTATGTATAGTAGTCACAGCACCAGATATGAAGATTCCTCAAAGCCAAGTGAAATGTTTGTAAGTACAGAAATAAGAATCGGGCCTGCTGTGGGAGTAGAAATTCATGTAGTGCTGGTATTTTCCATGTATCTTACAGTTCAGAGAGAGGGGCCTCAGGAGCGTCGATGGACTCCACCCAGAATATTAAGGAACAGACCCCCACCACAGGCTCCTCCAGAGGTTCGAATGTTGACAGAAAGAGGCCCACCTCCTGCTGAGGGTCCACAAGCACACAGGTCAGTAGACTCAATGCTGCATTGTATACTGGAGATACAATGACAGCCAAATGAATATCTCCTCTCTACACATTAGATTCACAGAGTTGACAGATGGTAGAAGACGTATAACAGCCAGCTTCAACCACCATCACAATAAATCCATCAATGTCACAAAAGGTGGGTCTGATCCTGAGCAGTGTCAGCACGGTGATGTTTTCAGGGTACAACAAAACTCTGCATAATAATAATATACATATATACGTTTTAGAGCCTGAAGCTCCTATCAGAGTGGAGAACACAGAAGGGTCACCCATCCCCTTGAGGCAAGCATTGCAGCTGCCAGATCCACAGCAGAGACCCAGAGATGGTATGTAGCAGAGAGATCTTGTATGAGATCCTATGTCAGTGCTGCATTTATCAAAACTACATTTTATGTACATATTTGTGACCAATGAACTTGAAGGACCTTGGTATTCCTTCACCCTAAGCAAATATAGTCTTACTTTATCAATACTTGAGGAAAGAACAACCAATCCGCGTCCAGATGTCAGTTTTATTGCTCAGGTTTGGGAGTAATAGGGCGTAGTTTTACTTCCTAATAATTACACAATAGACTGATGTATAGAAATCATCTTTTAGCACCGACCGGGATTCTAAAACTCCAGCTTGTGGCCGAACTCTGACAGTATTTCATACTAGACAAGTGGTATCTTCATTTGTAAATAATGGCAGTTGGTGAATTTTCTTGTCCTTTAGTGGTCATCACAAACTTTAATTCGTCTTACAAACATATTTTGGTATATGTTCATCTTGTAAACATGCCAATGTAATCATTCTATAGGCAATTCGAGATCAGCATTGATTTGTAACTTCCTCAGAGTGACCTGACATTAAAGCCCTGAGTCCCAGCCAGATGTACAGATGTGAATATTCCAGTGGAATATATGCACCATTTTATTCTGTGGATCCATATAGATGGACAGTTTGGTCATAGATCTAGTTATTTGGTGGCACAAGTGTATATTATATGAGCAGGAAGAAATCATTCTATATCTGTTCACTGTCCTATACTAGGAGTAAGACGAGGCTGCCTGGAAACCCCATGTATTAATGGGGGAACCTGTGTGAATGGAGAGGTCTGCGATTGCCCACCAGGGTTCAAAGGACATCAGTGCCAGCTGGGTATGTAATATGGTGTATTTTACCTCCTTCTTCTCAAATTGTCTTTCATATAATCTCACATATCTGGTAAATGGTCAGTCCACCCACAACTGATATTTTAGTTTTTGATAGATGCTGGGGAGTTAAACCACCTGACAAAATCTCTTTATGATATTTCTGTGATTGAGTTCCTAGGTCTGAACACATGCTGTGGCCAGTATGAGGGGATCCTGCTATCCCCCATTTGGTTCTGTAATGTGTTTTATATTATAGAAAATGCAACAGAATGAGTTGAAAACTTCCAAAACTCAAGAATTACTGCAGGGAGATATTGCTATCAGAGTATCCAAGACCTTTGCATGGATTGTTTATTTTAAGCATGTAGAAGCAGATGAGCACTACTAAGGTCTTCTGTGTTAAATGACATGGCTCCTTCGCTGGGCCACGGTGGACACTCAATGACAAATCTGTTTCAGCTGACTGAGCCTCATCCACATGAAGTTATACATGTTACATTGCTGATGTAACTACCGTAGATGCAGCCACATTGAGATCTATGAGATTGTATGAAGCCCGAGATGCCCACCCCTGCTTGGAGTACAGAATCTAAGGAAATCCAAAAGGATTGCTGTTCCAGGAGTGTCTGTAAAAAAATAAGATATACCATGACCTGGATGAATGAGAACCTTCACAGACATGTTCCAGGGGTGGCTTCCATTAGACCCTGCTGTAAATAGGAGGCAACAGAAGCAGTCCCAAAACCATGCACATGTACGGAGGCTCAAAAATAGGGGTAGCCAAACATCATCCCTCCAGCTGTGGTGAAAATACAAATCCCATCAGGCATCTCTCTCTGGAAGTAATGCCTGTGGCTGTCAGAGGCTTGCAAAGCCTAATGGGAATTGTAGTGTCATCACTGCTGAAGGGCCGAGGTTTGGCTACCCTTGCTCTAGAAGTTTGGTGAGTAACATCAACTCAAGACTGAACTTAGCCAGGCAATTTTAGATTGTCGGATAATAATTTTACTCTGCATTGTAAAGCACCATAGAAGTGGAAAGAAAAAAACCTATACCCTGTGCTAATACATATACACCGCCTGGTCAAAAAAAGTCACCACCTGGATTTAGCTAAGCAAATAGGTCAGAGCATTTCATTGGATAATAGGTCTAGGTTCAGCACAGTTATGTCCCCAGAAATGAGCTCAGTTGACTTCCTGAATATACTGAATGACCAGGTTTTTCCATCAATGGATTTTTTTCTTCCATGATGGCACGGACATATTCCAAGATGACAATGTCAGGATTCAACGGGCTCAGATTGTGAAAGAGTGGTTCAGGGAGCACGAGACATCATTTTCACACATGGATTGAACACCAGAGTCCAATAAGACTTTACGCAGTGGTATGACTCTCCCATCATCACTACAAGATCTTGATGAATAATGAATGCAACTCTGGATGGAAATAAAAGTTGTGACATTGCATAAGCTTATCGAAATGATGCCATGGCGAATGCATGCCAAAGTCAAAGTTAAAGCTGGTCCAACTAAATATTAGAGAGTAAGACTTTTCATTTTAGGCTAGGCA